CTCTAGCATTTGACCATTTAGGCATCTGGGCAGTTAGGGTCCTCATTCTGAATAACAAATAATTGATACGAATTATTCTTTTCCAGATGTAAATGAGTGCTTGTTAAGTGACAATCTCTGCAGAAATGGCAAGTGTGTGAATATGGTTGGAACATACCAGTGCTCATGTAACTCGGGGTACCAGGCCACTCCTGACAGACAAGGCTGCATGGGCAAGTGTTGTATATCTTCACCTATATATTTGTGCTTCAGTGTATATCGTTTCATCTCTCTTTTTTTATTTAATTTCATACCTTCCTTTTAAATTGAGCAGCACCATCTTCTCATCTACTGTTAGGCATATTGTGAACTATCATGGACCCTTCTTTTACTTTAGATATAGAAAGAAAGTATAAAAAGATTGTTGTTGTATTGAGCTCTGCAGAATACCTATGAGAAGGATATTCATATGGTTCCACTCCATTAAAACCAGAGGTTTGAGCTAACAACCAGGAAATGTTACTTGATTTTGTGATCAAGCAGGAAAAGGTGCATGCCTTAATAGTTTCTCTTTCACTTTTTCTCCTCACTATATACATCTCCTAAACCCTTCACTGCAGTACTACTGAGTTGTGTAGTTGTCATTGCATTGGTAAGGAGTAAGGAGAATATTTGTATTGAGAACTTTCTGTACATGTTGGCTTTGTTATTTTTTTTTGGAAAAAATATACATTTGTGCTACATTTCAAGCTTTAATGAAATCAAAGTTTCTCAGTGTTTTTCTTTCTTTCCTTCCCCCTTGTGTTTTGCACTTTTTTTTTTTACATCCCTAGTAATACATATGAACAAAACCACCACCTAGTAGTAGTGACGTGCGCCCACAGATGAAGATAAAATTGACAGAAAGCTGAACAAAATATAGTTCAGAGACAGTAGAGTGAGAATGAACGTTCAGAAGCTCAGGACTGATGATTTGTTTCATCTGCTAAGTAAAATAGCAGGAGAAGATGACTTTTCCTTATATAAAAGTAGACTCACTGCTGCTGATGTTTCTTCCCCAGATATTGATGAATGTATGATAATGAATGGAGGCTGTGACACCCACTGCACTAACTCAGAAGGCAGCTATGAGTGCAGCTGCAGTGACGGGTATGCTCTAATGCCAGATGTCAGGACATGCGCAGGTAAAAGTTATATCATCCTATCTTTCAGCCGTTATGGACATGATTTTCTTTTAGCTGATCTGTACTAGAGTGTCAGATTTATTGTCTGCTTGCTTTTTTCTCCCCTTCCTGTCCCGGCAGATATTGATGAGTGTGAAAACAATCCAGATATTTGTGATGGTGGGCAGTGTACTAATATTCCAGGGGAATATCGCTGTCTCTGTTATGATGGATTTATGGCTTCTATGGACATGAAAACTTGTATTGGTGAGTAGCTATATGCACTAAATGCAAGTCTAAAAGTTCTGTAGCTAATTTGTAGCATGTTGTGCCAATTCTTTGAAAGTGAATATTGAAACTATGTATATTTTTTTTAAAAAGTAGAAAAGAAGGAAGAAGGAAGTCTTTCTTGCCTGTCACTTCAGATTTCAGGAAAGGTAGAGAAATATTTAAGAAGACCGTAAAGATTAGTCAAATCACATGATTTCAAAAGTAGGAATCACTTAATTATAATAATACGATTCCTCTAAAATTTCTCTATTGAGACTGAGTGTGCCCTAGCATTTTCTTCTGTCTCTTGTAGTTGCTTTAGTTTGTTCCCTCAACAACAGGAAGTTACCATGAACAATTATAAAGGAAACTGAAATGAAAGTATTTCCTCAAATGAACCAAACCTGTTTAATTTATCTTGATGTTTATATGAAGGTCCTGCCTTTTGCATTTAATAAAAAAATCCACAAAAATCCACGTGTTTCACATTTTACGGTAGTTTTGGCTATACTAATAACATTTTTTTACATTTTATGAACATCTTTCAAACAAACATGGTGTATGTCCACACACAGGCACACACACTGAGGAGAAACTAGTTATATGTAATGCTGAGCAAAGCTGTCCTGAGCTGGTTTTGTCTTCTTTCTTTCATAGTTTGAGTTGAATTTAAGATTTTCTTTCCACTTTCAATTTTGTGTTACTCTAGGCTCTTGTTTTCAGCTTTGCTTGCATACTCCATATATTACACAACCAACCTGAGAGTTGAGAACTGATCTTTTCAGTATTTTCTTTTACATTAGCCGTGTCAGTAGCAGTAAAATCAGAATGGTTTTTTTTTCATTTTGTGCACAACTACTCTTAAATGTTCTTCTCTAGGGAAACAGGTTAGAAACAGTGATAAAGTGAACTTGTATATATGAACTCTGTTATGTATGTAATTGCTTTTTTCAACTAATAAGGAATTTATTTGTATTTACAGATGTGAATGAATGTGATCTGAATTCCAACATCTGTATGTCTGGGGGGTGTGAAAACACTAAAGGTTCCTTCATTTGTCACTGTCAGCTAGGATATTCGGTCAAGAAGGGAACCACTGGATGCACAGGTAAACCAAGTTTCCAGAATATGTGTCATAGTGCGCACATACCTTGATTGGCTTTCAGGTAAAATAAATGCACAGGTGCTCACACATAAGTAAGAGATGGATGTTTGTACGCAGTAGTAAATGTAAGATTAAGTATTTTACATTTGTCAGCATATATCTAGAGGCTGAAAAGCTATGTTCCTTGGCCAATATCATCGTAATATGAGAGGCCCCTTAAATAGATGTAATTTTAAAGGCAAGCTTTTATCAATATACATTAGGGGGAGTATCTGTGGTAGGAAATATAGCTTGGGTGGGCACAGCTGCATTTGTATTGAAAGTGTTTTATCAGTACTCATTTGTCATACGTACTTATAGTGTAAGCTCATCTGTCAACTAGAGCTGCAAGAAATGATCCTGTAGTCTAAGAAAAATCTAAAAGGAAAGAAAAAGTAAAAGGAAACAATGAAAACAGTGTTGATGTAAAAGGGGAAGTATATGCTGTCCTTGAACCCATGGTAATGTTAAAGAATCATACTCAGTCAGTTTTAAGCTCTACAAGTTCCTATGATAGTTAAGCAGTACCTTGGGTTCTGCAGTCTGGGTCCACTGAATTGAGGAAGTTAAATTCATCCAGAACTATTATTCTGGGAAAGTTCACAAAATTTCTCTTATTATTTGGTCTTTAACATTTTGTCCTGTAATTATTAAGATCTTGGACTAAAAAATTTTATAACTAAAATGTACCTGTGCACCGTAAGGTCTTATCTCATTTTTAGACATATGAAGATCAGCATATGTAATATATCTGGAAAAGAGTTTTCATTTCAAACTGAATAGCAGTCGTGGGAAAGCAGGCTAATTTTGTAATGTTTACAAACAAAGAACAAAATGAAAATACGCTTGCCACTACTTTTTACTGAAGTGTAATACAAAGTAACTTTCTGCAGTCTTGAACATTTGTATTTTAAAGGACTGCAAATCTGCACAGGGGAAGTCAGCAACATGTGAAAGGAACATAATTTGTAGCACTCTGGTACTCCTGATGTCAATACTAATTTATTTTGTGCTTATAGATGTGGATGAGTGTGAGATTGCTGCTCACAACTGTGATATGCATGCCTCATGTGTCAATGTACCAGGAAGTTTTAAATGTAGTTGCAGAGAAGGATGGGTTGGAAATGGCATTAAATGTATTGGTACGTATACAGAAAATAATGCTTTCTTCTTTTTTCTTTTTTTTTCCCATGAAAGCGTGTCATATGACTCTAATAGAAACATTCTTCTATCTGCTGCACTCTGTGGATAGATGGTTATGAAAGATTCTTACATTTCAAGGATTTGGTTTTCTGAGAAAAAAAATGATTTTGTCTCAGAGGCCTGTCTGTGTAACATCTTACAGAATTAACAAACACAGTTTGCATAAAACCACTAGTATGAGCAAAATAAATTTAAAAAAAAGTAAAAAATAAAACGGAATTTATTTTGTGGTTTCCTGCCAGTAAGATACGATTTCTGTTACTTAATATAATTTTTTGTAAATGCCCCGTATATATATATAGGTTTTAGGCCCTGCTATAAAGCTGATTGGACTTGAGTTATGGGAAGATGGATTCTACTTTGCTGGCCTAGTAGAATAGCATCATGTCCCCTTGCCTTCATTTCTTAGTTTGATCTGTAATACTTACGTTTTTCCACAACATTTTTGGATCTATGGAAGAGGAGTTTCATTTAAGAATTAGGCTTTGTTGATGTGAAAGAAAATGTACCATATTATGAGATTTTACTGCTACCAGATTTTCTAAGCTATCTCTGAGAAAAAGGGAAAGGACCTCTGGTCTTTATTGTTATGATTTAGTTAAAAAAATATCTGAGGTTCTAGTAAGTAAAGTAAAAGTCCCATTTGAAGGAGGAAACTTTAAATAATTTTTTTTTTCCAGCAGCATCCTCATAGTTAGACTAGCTCCTGGATGTAGAGGATACTTCCAGGAGACCACCCTGTGTCTTCTCATGGGAACTTTACATATTTATGGAGACATAAATCATGTTTGCAGTTTCACTTGCTAGCTTGACAGTTAATTGTAAGCCCAGTATGCTAACTGCTCTGTTGCTGCTTACACTCTTTTGCCCCTGATGTGCAGATCTTGATGAATGCTCCAATGGGACCCACCAATGCAGCGTGAATGCTCAGTGTGTGAACACCCCGGGGTCGTACCGCTGTGCCTGCATGGAAGGATTCACGGGGGATGGATTTACTTGCTCTGGTAAGAAGTGTCTGTGAAAGCTGACTTGTCACTTGTTGTTTCTGTTGTATGGAAGCTTTGCAATTTAGATCTAAGTCCAAAGTGAAAGATAATTAAATATAGAAGTGTCCTTTAAGATAAGGATTCTTCCTATCTGCTGAAGAAATCCTAACAAAGGCAACTCATTCTTCTTTTGGTTCATGTGCCAAATTGGACCCATGGGGCGCATTAGTGGTGTAAAGTTCCTGTTTGCTGCTGCCTCCTCCTCCTCTTCACACCGTTTTTTTGAATGGTTGCAGCAGCAGGCTCTCTAGTCAAGAACACCAGCTCTCTCTTTTATGGTTCCTGTCTTGTAGGCCAGGTCTGCCTCTTGCAGGCAAGTCATCATCTGGTTTCCTCTCACTATTATAGTACGACTTTTTAAAAAGGAAAAACAAATGAGTTGAAAAATATTGCCCATGAACTCTGTATTTAAAATTGTAGGTAAATGCTCACTATTCAGAGTTAACATTGTTTAGCACACAACAAGTGATTCAAAATGAACTGACATGTTATATAAAGTGTAAATGTTTTATATTTAAACATTAATGGCTGTGTATTGAGTTACTGTGAATTTTATCATTTACAGAGTGGAGATACAATGATGTCTCTGCTCTTGAGTTCTAACGTGTGCTGTTATGTAGTCAGCAAATTCATATGTTGGAAGGAATGCATCCTAATGATAGCAAAATACCCAGAAAGTAATGTGAATGCATTCTTCATTAGCTAGCTGGCTAATTTTAAATTAAAATTAATTTGCATCTTAACAAAACAGTCTTCTGATTAGTGTTGGGGTTTTTTTTACTTCAGAATAAGGATCTTCAAACATTCTTTGTCTATGTCTTTCAAGTTTGTAGTTGATTAACAAAAACTTTCATCCCTATTATTAATACCTTGTGTTTCCAATCTATGTTTTAAAAATCAGATAGAATACTAGGGATTGCCAAATAAAATGAAAAAATTATATTGAAATTTTTTTTGGATGATCGTAAACATACCTGACAAAATTATGAGTCCTTATGATGATGAATGCCTTCATTTGTCACTCTGCTCTTTTCTAGCCTGCAAAAAAAAAAGGTCACTTTTGGAGCATGCTAGAATAATCCCCAGTAGTGTACAAATGGTAGTTGTAATGCTCATAATCCTCAAAGAATATTTTCTAAAATGCATATGAAAATAATTTTCTATGCATTATTCACTTAAGAAAATATGCCTTTCAAATGTATTTTGTATCAAAGTAACATAACAATAAATACTAGGGAAGAAAGCCTTGATGTTGTAAGCAAAGTATTCAACTTACTTGTCAAAGCTAAGACTGAATCTGAAAACCTTGTATTATTTAAAAAAATATAAAAGTTTTAGTGAAAAACAAGGAGTAAAGAATCATGGCAAGATAAAAGGAATAATTTTGGAAATGACATTATGTTTGCTTTCCTGCATTCTTTAAATTTACATCAACTTCAGGTGTAAGTATTTTCTTTTTATGTTGGCGATACTCAACAGCACTGTTATTTTGAACGTCAGGATACTATTATTTGTACTCGGTTAGTGAAATATGCAGATTCAGTGAAACTTTGTCTCCTGCAGATGTTGATGAGTGTGCAGAAAATGTTAACCTGTGTGAAAATGGACAGTGTTTGAATGTCCCTGGTGCCTACCGTTGTGAGTGTGAGATGGGGTTCACTCCCACCTTGGACAGCAGGTCATGCCAAGGTAAGCTACTGGTACTTCAAGCTTATTCTCTGAATTTGGGTTGACTGCTATAAGGCAAACAACCAGAAGTGCTGGAAGGACCTCAAGCTGGGAGCAGAATATTCAGCACATGCTTTACATGTAAGTAAATTCTTCAAGCAAGGAGTGTTGAAGGTAGATTTCATCTTCTTATCAAGTTTTCCTGACTTTGGTCCAAAAATCCCAGAGACCACGATTATCTTAGTAGTTTTGGTTTTTAATTATTTCTTTCCTTTTTGTCCCTAGTGAATACTGTGTGGAAAATCTTGTGCTTATCACTGGGTTTTTTTAGTGTGTTTACATAGGAGACACAAACTGCATGGAAGTGATTTAATTTTAAAATAAATGTTTTCAGGAAAACTGAAGTAGGCAAATCACTTCTCTATTTGACAAGTTTGTAACACCCCTTAGAATGCAAGCTGGAGGGTTTTTTGTCATCACCCTTTTACTCTCAATATGCTACCAGATCATGTGAAGTGAAAAAGGAATTTCTATCTTTCTAGTCTGATTGAGCTTCTATTCCCTGTTGTTTTCTTATGTCTTTTTTTTTTTTTTACTTAATATAATAGAACTATGTATTAGATAACATCTTTTTAGCTTTCGCTACAAATTTTTTAAATTTATTTCCTATTTAATGGTGGAAACCTCATAATGTCTTAGGAAATTAAAATTCTTGATGAGACATTAAAGCCAGATTCCAAAATGTAGTCTCTGAAATTCAGTCCAAAACTTGACGTGTTCAAACCTTCAAGTATACATGTATGAATTGGACTCTGAGCTGTGGAAGAATTGCAGATGCTTCTGAAAATTTAGCTACACAACTCTTTTGATCATATCTGTGAATAGTTGTGAGGTACTGTCCGTCATCTTTACTGAATTTTTCAGTGCACTTCAGTTAATCATGTTATAGTAGTGCCAATGTTCTAATACAAATCCCCAAAGAGGTATGAGCCAGTCAATGTTTTGAAAAATAATATGATTTGAATTCTTGGGTCACAATTTTGGAAAAATGGTTAGTATATTACTGTGATTCCAACGGACCTCTGAAAGCATTCCATAGATTGTAATTTGTCCTATGAGAAGGTGACACCTTGGCTGATTTCTGCAATCTAGGGACAAAATCCAAAGTTTGGATTTACTACAGTAATTGTAATGCAAATAATTCATCCAATTTATTCAGAAATCCATTGAGATGTCAGCACATTAGCTTCTCAATGATACAGTCTTTTCCATAACTTCATAAAACTCCAACTGAACACGAGTTATGTTTGTGACCTGATTCAGAGATCACCTCCATATCTGTATGCCGAAGTACTTAGAAATCTTTCTCTAATTTCCAGTGTAAGTTTATTCAGGAATGTTAGTTATTAGGCATTTATCTTAGATTTCATTTTCCTTAAAAATTCATATCTCTCTCCCGCAGGAAGGTGCCCCTTTACTTTTCTTCCTACAAAGGACATTATATCACTTCTCAAGCCTTGGATAGGGCCAGCAAGCCAAGTTCAAAATAGATATTTCATTAATCATACAAATATCCCTTTTTTACACTCTGTCCATTTTTTGTTAATCACTCCTCAACAGTGCAACGTACGCAGAATTTCATATGAAGACTTAACTGTGTGTTGTAAAACAGTACTAATGGTTTCTGCTTTCCTGTCTCTGCTAAAATAGCTCACTAGTAAATGCTAGAGGTGCATAAGCCCTTTACACAGATGTGCTTTTTTGGAAAAATTAGAAGTCTTGCTCTCAAACAGTATATGCAGGGGGGTTTTCCCTCTTACCTTATTTACCTTCAACTCAGAAGATATTTATAGTTTCTGTCTAAAACCATAGCTTTACATTCTGTGCTGTTAGTATTTGACTCTTTCTGGCACTATAGTTGACAAAGTCTTCTAATTTTCTGTCAGCACCTTTCACCTTTATTTAATCTGTAATTTACACACACAAGCAGTCCTTTACATGCATTTTAGCTCACCTACATGTAGTTACTATACTATTCGTTTAATGTTGGCTTGAGAAGTCAGATAATTCTTACTTCCTATATTTCTTTTCCCTGTGTTCTTTCTCCAAGGAGATAAAAGTAACAGTCGATGCCTACTCCTTCTCTTTCTTCTTAGTATACTTTTTTTACCGTGGGAATGTTGACTTGAAAATCTTATTTTGAAAATCTTACTTTTGAAAATCTTACTGCTATTACTAAAAAATATTGCACTCTAAGCTAAGAAATTACTGACACGGTCATATGCTGTTACACGTCATTATCTTTAACACATGTTTTGAGAAGAACTTACTGACTTTTTGAATTAGCTTTCATTTTGAGTCCTGGGAAGGCAATTTTGCTTTTTGTGATTCAGATTAGGTATAACAGGAACAAATAACAAGCAGCTTAATGAAGACTGACTTACAAATCCCTAGCAGTAGCATTCCACAGAAATCGGAAGTGATTACTTATTGTTGCTTTTAAAAATGTTTTTACCTGTGTCTTCATTTACTTTTGTCAGTAGAACATACGATTGTAGAATTAATATGCTATGTAACTCTCTATTCTTAATATATTCCTTCAGATATCGATGAATGTTCCTTCCAGAACATATGTGTATTTGGTACCTGTAATAATCTACCAGGAATGTTTCATTGCATCTGTGATGATGGCTATGAGCTAGATCGAACTGGAGGAAACTGTACAGGTATATCTCTTCTGTTAAGAAATATTTCAACACTTTTTTTTTTTACTTTTTTTTTCCCCAATTGCGCCAAGTTAATTTAGAGGTGTGTTCGCAAAACATACATTGTATTCTCTTAAAACAACAAGAGTGCATTTTTCCCCACTAAATAAACAATGTGTAGAATTGCATGCTTTGGAGTTAGTTTAAGAATGGAACAACAATAATGGCTTCTTAAATATGCAGCCACACCAAGGTTATTCCTGAAAGTCTGTTGAATAACTAGTAGTTCTTTTGTTCAATTTCAGCTAAAATTCATTTGGATTTGAAATTTTCTTGCCCATTTTGTCTTAAAAAGTAAAATTATACTTCTTTTCTGTCCAGTGAGCAGATTTATGAATGTAACCTTCCTATTTTAGATATCGATGAATGTGCCGATCCCATTAATTGTGTTAATGGTCTTTGCGTGAATACCCCTGGAAGGTATGAGTGTAATTGCCCTCCAGACTTCCAGCTGAATCCTACTGGAGTGGGTTGTGTGGGTAAGTAAAAGCTACCTCAAGTATTACTTCAGGAGTCACAGCTGTGATGACTTTCTTGGTGCAAAGGAGGGTAGCAACGTAAAAAAAATGTGTTTTCACATACTGTGTACCCTGATGTATAGTTTTCTAGAGATGCAGTTAATTATTTTAACTGACTAATGATGTTTATATTTTCTCTAAAGTACACCTTTTTTAATTTCTTAGAACATGTATTATCTGCATTTCCGTTCTTCTGACAGTCAGCAATTCTTATTTAGAAAAATGAGTTTTTTAATCCTAGATGTGTCTTCAGACCAATGTAAACTGGAATTAAAACTGGTTGTAGTACCCAATCAGCTGGAAACAAAGCAAAAGATTTGTTTTACTGTAGTTTGCGTAATTCTGTCTGGCTTACACAGACTTGAAGTGAATTTTTAATACTTTTCTCCCCTTTCAACATGATGTAGGCCTGTCATGTGATTAGAGTATATACCAGCAGGCTAGAGAATTTTTAGGCAAGAATGGGGTTGAGAGACAAGTTAAGGTTCAGCTGTAAGGATTTGTGTGTGATCCTGGGAAAAACTTCTGACTTTTTTTATTTGTAAAATAGCCTTTTTATTTTATTACCTTGGGAAGATTCAGAGTTTCCTGAATTGATAATCAGAACTCTATCCACTTTCTAAATGCTTACAGTAGTACTACAGTGTAGTGACAAATTAATTTATTCTAAGCAAATAATTTCTGAGCAAATGCAGATTTCCTTCAGAACAAATTTGCTTGTCCTTTCTATGTTTCTCCATTTTCTGCCTATGAATATTCTCTGCTGCTTCTCTGGAGGGTAGAAACAAGTCCTGTTCGAGATCTTTACATGTCCATATCCTTGGCCAACGTATTCTAAAACTTTAAGCAGAGATTTTTAAAGATTAAGTGAATTTATATGATCTATTCCCATTTAATTGGAAGCCTGTGTTTTTGTCTCCCGTAGACTCTTCTGACAATTCCTGCCTCACTACATTTCTTCTGCAGTTGCAGCCTGACTTAAGCTTTGTCTTATCTGAAGTTTCAGCTGAAGTAATGAAATCTTGCCTTTTTGACTCTAGTTCTGCAGCATATACCTACCAAGATCCTCATTCTTTCCTACAGACAGATGCTGTGCATGATCAGCCCTGCAAGCCCTGAATTATGACCAAAGAATTTGAGTGATCTCTGACAAAGCTTAAGAAAATTAATTATCCTACTGCTAGCTGACTTGTGTTTCACTAAAATATGGGAGTTTGAGTTGGCAGTCTGCTTTGGGACCGATTGTCCCAATGACATTTCTGGCAGGAGTGCAATGTTTCCTCAAGGAAGCATCCGTGCTGGAATGGAACCTACTCAGGACTAAATCTAGCAGCTTTAGAGTCCCAAATGAGAGAGCAAGCCCTCCCTCTCTGAAGAAGAAAAAAAATTGAATAAGCACGTGGTAGAAAAACTGCTTGACCTTCTTTATTTCTGTCCTGAAAACAATGTTACTAGAGCTGTCCCCCTTTCTGGTACAAAGACTCTTTTCCTTTCCATTTTGTAGGGAGCATTTTTAGTTTCTCAATGCCTGATTGTACAGAAAAGACACTCCCAAGACTGAGCCTCCTGAGCAAACATGAGTGTTTCGGGCAGGCTCTAGGTCTTTTCAAGTTCAGTTTCAGACAATGGCAGAACTGGAATCAACTCAATTGTCTATAGGATTTGTGCAAGCCTTAGGTGTACACTTCCCATCTCTCCACAGCCTAATCCTATGACAAAGTGCAAAAAACACTTGTTGAACATTCACCTTGTATTTTTGACAGGGGCAAGCAAGGCCTCTGCTTTCCATGAAATATCGTCAGAGTAAGGTAATAGAAATAAAGCCCTAATCTGTGCATGAAATGACACTTTAGTGCCTATATTTTTAGAAGCCCTTAAGAAATTATGCACCCAGTGCAACTGAAAACACATTGGTTATACTATTTTATGTGATTGTAGGCGTTGTTAAGTTTTGAACTTTATTTCTTTCACCAGCAGTTCTCATTTCTAACGTTTCCAAAGGGTTAAATAATTTTGCTTGGGAAGTGGAAAGAGAGAGAGTAGCCATTTCAATGCAGCTGTACTAGTTCTGCTTCTAGATTTGGTATGTTTAAGGTATGTCTAATGATTTACTTAGCCCAAAGAGGGAAGAACTGAAATTCCATTTGCTTATGGTCCTTTAGAGTCTCAGGACTGCAATTCCAAATTGAAACTTCACTTGCGATGATTTTTATGTCACTGGTACATGGCAAAACATTACCCAGTTTTCATTCTAAGCTTGTACTTATTTGGGAAAAAAAAAACCAAACAAAACAAAAACCAAAACGCAGAGGCCAGTAGAACTCACAGAGGAAAAGGGAAGTTTCTTGCTTCTAGAGTGCAGAAGCTGTGGTGAAAACTTCATGTCCAAGGACAGCAACTTCTCGTTCTCTTCAGTAGGACTATCTCTTGCACTCTTGAGCAAAAATGATGGAGGAATTTAAATTCCAGTTGTTTTCAAAAGGAACAGAAATATTATCCTTAGCAAAGAAGAACATTGTGCTTTGTCAAAACAGTTCATGTGAGCAGTAAATCGAAACCTAAATCTCTTAATGAATTCAGTATTGATATTCTGCTAGGAATTCCAGGATCTGCCTTCATTCCAAGGTCTATTATCTCCTATTGTTCTTAACGGGCCTGAGGTCTCAGGCTAAAGCCATCTCTCAAAGTGGTCATTGTTTTTCGCTTTTCTCAAGAAGAATGAAACCAAATCTCTTCTTGGCTTCTCTTAAAAAGGCAGATGTCTTACGATATCATGAAGGGAGAGAAGCATGCAGTTCCTCTGAGAACGCAGGAGATAGGTATTCTCAGAGTAGCCACATTGGGTTTCTTCCAGCTCAAGAGCGCAATGAGAACAACAGGACGTGCCCTTTTAAAATTTTAAAAAGGTACTTCATTTTACTCTCATTTAACGTTGTCTTAAATTAAAAAGGTCTTCCACTTTAAGATATGCTTATCAGCAGTCTCAGGTCTTGGATCTTAACTTGGGGGACATAGAATTATCCCACCTGAAATTTTGTCATTTTCTGTCAGAGGCCCAGAGATACATTTGCCTCTGCCACTCAATTCTTAACTTAGTCTTTTAGCTTTCCAAGAGTGTACATTTATGGCGAGATAGTGAAATTTGTTGTAGAATATGTGAGGCTAAGGAACAAGCCTCCTTTTCCACAGTCTCTGCTACAGCATGCTCTTAAAACTGCAGCAAGATTCACACAGAGATTCCTTGCTCCTGCTGATACCTGCAGTTTTCTAAATCATTAAGTTACATTTTGAGTGAACTAATAGACTAATCTTCCTCAAACCTACTGCACATTTAGTTTATTCACTTTAATATTAATGATTTTTGGAGAATTTATTTGCTAGTGGAAGAATTCTTCAAACAACATGACGTTTTCCATGATTCCATAGAAGAATGAGTAAATTCTTCTGATTTCACAAGAAAGAGTCATGGCCTAGTCACAATCACGGTAGGCAGAGGCAATACTAAGAGTAAACTGCTGCAAAGTCTCTAGTGAAAGACTGACAATAGTTTATTATCTACATTAGGATATGGTGTGACTTTGGAAGACATGCAAACATTTTAAATTCGTGTCCGGGTACATAGGAAGCTGAAGCTGCCCATTTTCCCTGCTATTTCTCTCAACATTGGTAGCTATCAGAGTACATGAGTGTTTTGAGCTTGCCAACGACATCAGAAGCGCAACATTGTCTGAATTTCTTCTTTGGGGTCTGAAATGTTAATATTAATGCCTGCTGTTCCTTTGTTCAGCTCATTGTGTGCAGCTGCAGTCATATGTGCTTTATATGTAGATAACCGTGTTGGCAATTGCTACCTGAAGTATGGACTGCGAGGAGATGGAAGCCTATCATGCAACACTGAAATTGGAGTTGGAGTCAGTCGTTCCTCGTGCTGCTGTTCTCTGGGAAAGGCTTGGGGAAACCCCTGTGAGACGTGTCCCCCTGTAAACAGCAGTAAGGAAATGTTCTCTTTTTCTCCCCACACCCTCTTAGTACAGAAGATGCCAACAAGAGATAGGAAAAGTGTTTGAAACTTTGTTACAGTTTGTTACTGTTTGTTACTGTATGAAACTTTGTACTGTTGCATTGTACATCCTAGCCTTTAAGAAACAGATTTTTGTCATGAGTCAGTGTTCTGGCACAGTTATAAATTAAAATCTCCCTGCTGCTGTTAGAGGGGTGGTGCAGAGGTGTGGGCCTGAGTATCAGAAGACGTGACCTTTAGTCTGCTGTGACTGACTTGGTTCATGTTCTCACATTAATAAATCAGCAGTAATTTTAGAAGGCACTTCCCAGTGGACAAGGCCCATGTACTTTGGATAGTGTGCGGCCCTTCATTTTATTTTGCTTTTACTTTTCTCCCATTAAAACAGTTAAGGTAGTTCCAGCTACACTTACGTATCTTAAGAACGGAATGGACTGCCTGCCATCGATAAGGAATTTTTACCTAGCAACACCATGTTTGTAAGGAAATAACAAAATTGGTAATGCTTAGAACTCAAATCATGCCTTTAATCTGGAGAGCTGCAGTAGATCTCAAAGGATAGTGTTGGTAACTGTTGGGTAACTGTTTCTAAGTCACTGTTGAATACTTTCAAAACTGTTACCCGATTATACTTAGAATTTTTGCAGGGTTTTTAAGTTCTTTGAATGAATAATGCAACAGAAATGTCAAGCATGGTGTTCTTAACACTCATAATAGTATGAATTCTGATTTTATTATGTTCTGATTTATCAATGGTATACTGACATCTCGTATTAAAGAACTAATCAGAACAGAAAATGTACTTTTATAAAGACTCAGTACAGAGTAAACAACATCGTGCCTGCCTTAAGTTTATCTGTTTGTGCTTTAAGCATAACTCTTAATCTTACCTTAATTTTCTACACATCTAATGCGCTTGCTCTGTTTGCTATGGATAGGTCAAGAAGAGTAGAAAACCAATGAATGTAGGGAAGATGACTCCCTAAAAACAAAAATGAAATTTTATGTTTCTGTTCTTAGCATTTTATTCTTCATATGATTGATATGCTTTCTCTTGTTATAGCGGAATATAACACTCTCTGTCCAGGAGGAGAGGGATTCAGACCAAATCCCATCACTATTATTTTAGAAGGTGAGTTTTTTGTAAATGACTGTGATGTCTGGTTATAAAAAAAAAGGATCATCTTCAGACAGATATATACAGAAACTTTATTTTGCAGAAATCATTACATTTATTGCAAAGCACACCTCTCTGCTAATATGAATTGGCAACAACTTGATGGAAAGGCATATTGTAAAAGAGTATTGAACAAGTCCAACAATATTTCAGTGGGAAAATAAGTTGTTGCATGCCTTCTGTGTGCCTACTTACTTGAAGTGGACTTTGAAACTGGGCCCTGAAGGATAAGTCATTTATGAAAATTAGAGCTTATCAGTGGAATATATAAATTTCAGGAAATATTCATTGGACAAAGAAACAATGAGTTTCCAGTGAGTGTGCAGAAATGTAGAATTAGATGCCAAATTCCTGAAAACAGTTGAACTCCATGGTCTCATCAAGTTGAAACATGGTCCTCAAGAACTATTTAAATAGAAGAGAAAAAACATGTCATCCATGCTTACATGAAGTGTAATTTATGTCATATATCCACATGACAGTTCAAAGCTACTAGCTGGTAAATTTTCAGGGGAGTACTTAAAGTGTTTTCATTCTGGAATGAAAATATGGTGGATTTTTTTCTCTTTTCAGACATTGATGAATGTCAGGAACTGCCAGGTCTCTGCCAAGGTGGAAATTGCATCAATACTTTTGGCAGCTTCCAGTGTGAATGTCCAAAAGGCTACTACCTCAGTGAAGAGACAAGGATATGTGAAGGTTGAATCCCTTGAAACCTCCTTCTCTATCACAGTGCAGTTATTATGAAAAACACTGTCATTTTTAGCCTTAAATTCATAAGTGGACATGATACCCATACCCTTACGTAAAATCTTCTCTAAAATCATTATCTTTCAGGTTAATGTAAAGCTTGAAATGCAGCACTTGAATATACTTTCAGTAAACTGGTTGCTGGTTGTTCATAATTTCTAGCTTCTCACTTCAACACCTTATATCTCCTTACAGTTTCAATAGGCTTCCTGTATTTTAAGTGAGAAAAGGTGTTGTCCTCACAGTATTTTGGAGTAGAAGTTTAATTTACACAACATGAAGGAAAATTGCTATTGTTCTTCCTGTTGTGTTTGAGATTTGTCAGAAGTGTTAGAAACAAAATTTGTAAACAGATCCAAAAATGTAACGAATCTTTCATGGCTTCTCCTAATTTAGAGCATTGTATGTCAATTTCTCCTTCATTCACTTTGCACCTCTGAGAAAGGCTTACGCCCCTAGTATGTTAAAGAAGAAGATCCAGTGTTAGAGCAACAAGACTGTGTGATTATTCAGCTTGCCTCTTTCTAAACAGTGTAATTCAAAGGTAATTTCTCAGAAGAGTAGTGAACACATTAACAACTGAAAAGTGACTACCATTTCTCTGAGAAGAGGGCGTGAATGTCTTTTCTGAAGTTAATAGGGCAAAAGCTGTTCAGATTTCAGTGGTGAATTCAACAATTTGGAATTTATTTAAGGTGATCTCTTGCATTCCACTGGCTGGACTTGATAGAAGATAGCAACATGAATTTTCAGCAGCTGTTACGATAACTACTTAGCTCAGACTTGAGCTAGTCTTTGAATGAAATATTCTTCTTACCTTAGCATGGTTTATTATGGTCATGTTTCTCAAAAACATTTGGTAGAATTTGATCCTCTTTTCCTCAGTTAATTGTAGTGTGTTTACTTGATCTCTAGATATTGATGAGTGTGTTGCACATCCTGGTGTCTGTGGTCCTGGCACCTGCTACAATACCTTGGGGAACTACACCTGCATTTGCCCACCTGAATATATGCAGGTGAACGGAGGACATAACTGCATGGGTATGGAAGTGTCATCTTTACTAGAATGTTGTGAATATCATACTGTTTCAGGGCTAGACCCTCTGCCAGTTCTAAAGCCTTACATTGCTCCCTCTTACCTTTACCTCCCAGACAGTTACATCGTCCAGGAAAGAGATCCCAATGACTGACATGCAGTGTTCATGTGTTCTTATTCCTTAACAAAACCCAGAAATCTTTTATTTTCATTAGTCATTTTCAAATGATAGGGTTTACTGTGCAAATGGATCTGATGAGTACCTGCAGCGTGTTTCTCATTTCTTGGGAATTTCCTTTTTTCCCTTTGTGTCTTTGAAAGAAAACTGAAAATATGTCAAATGTAAAACAAAGATTGTAGATGACTTCAATTCTTAAGTTACTTTTACACACATCCATGCATATGCTTTGGGTGCATTCAGAAGCCAGAGTTAATGAACCACTGTCTGAGTTAGTAGGAGATTGATATCTATTCTAGTTTGTTTCTTGTTTACTTTATAAGTGATTCTTTTCTCACATGTAGACATGAGGAAAAGCTTTTGCTACAGAAGCTATAATGGAACCTCCTGTGAGAATGAACTGCCCTTCAATGTGACCAAAAGAATGTGTTGCTGTACATACAATGTTGGAAAAGCCTGGAACAAACCTTGTGAACCATGTCCAACTCCAGGAACAGGTAAAGCCTGCTATAATCATCGCAAAATTTTTACTCTCTTTGCCCATCTACTCCTTTATCTACTGGTTAAACTTGAACTTGCAGCCCCAGAAGACCTTTATGTATTTGCAAAGCAGAGTGATAATACCCTGCCATCCTGTCACTGGCTGGATTAAGACTTGCTATGCTAAACAAGAATAGGTGTTTCTTCTGTATTTTTAAGTGGAAGAAGTATCAGTCCATATTGAGTGGGAAGTTACAGCTTGAATAGTTTGAAGTCACCAACCATTCCACCTGGCTGAAAAAACAATTCACCAAGAACGTACATATTTTCCCTCTCAGCTACCCCTGAAGGCAAGAACAAGGGAACAAATTACTTTCAGGTGTCACTGAGATGAATAAAAAGGCCTGGAAGGTATGGACTGACCTTCCCATAAGCAGCAGCAGTAGGTCAGCCCTGTATCTGTAGGTAGATCTAATTGTTTAAACATATTTTTCGTTTTGTATTAGGGCACTATAAAGTCAGTATGCTGTGGTTTTATTCTTTCTTCATAACAAATACCAAAGCTTTCAGAAGTCTTCTATAAACAAATAATTACTTTCAATAATTTAGATTTGTGTCAAAAATCTATGTTTGTGTAGGTGAGACCCACCAAGGGAGCAGAGTAGATATAAACAAGTTTTCTGAATGAGTCATCACAGAACTCCCTTGTCTAAAGTATCCCTTTCAGGTTTCTGGAAAAACAGTCATTGAGTAATTGTACTGGGTTGATGATACTCTCTCACAAGAGATGCCTGTTGCCTGATCTGCCTTCCAGGATAATTAATTTAGAATAGTATAATTCAGTTGCTTGCATTTATCCTGGTAGTCCTAATCTGTCGAAACAAAATTACTAGGTTTAATTTCAAGAGTGTATTGCCTTTCTAGATTTTTCACTTTTTTCTCACATCAGAGTGTCATTCCCTCAGTTGCTTTTACATTTTCTCTGTTGAAGGTGATGAACTTGGAAAAGCTCTATAAGCGGAGCATTATAAAGGGAAGTAAAAATTCCTTTCTATAAAGGAAGATAAAAATAATATGATACGGTTCTTTTTCAGGTAATCTTTATAAAGTTCCTTTTCTGGAACAAAACACCTTTGAAAGCTCAGTTCAGAAAAATAATTGGTGGGAGAATCACTAGCATGGAAACTTGACAGTAACAGCTGGCCTTCCTTAAAAGATTTTACGTTTGTAAAAAGAGCAAAAGTGCCTAGGAGCTCATGGACAAACTCAGGCACAAAAAGGAAGCCTGTAGAGGTAAGACAGAGGTAACCTGAGAGGAATACAGAGAAATTGTCCGCATAGCCAGGGATCAGATTAGGAAAGCCAAAGCCCTGATAGAATTAAATCTGGCCAGGAACATCAAGGGCAACGAGAAAAGCTTCTAAAAGTATGCCGGTAAATAAAAGGGATAATGTGGACCCTCTCCAGAAGGAAGGAGGAGACCTGGTTACCAGGAATATAGAGAAGGCTGGGGCACTTAGATGACTTTTTGCTTCAGTCTTGAGTGGCAAATGCTCCAGCCACACCACCCACGTTGCAGAAGGCAAAGGCAGGGACTGGGAGAATGAGGAACCACCTAACGTAGAGAAAGATCAGGTTCAAGACCATTTAAGGAACATGAAGGCGCACAAGTCCATGGGACCTGATGCGATGCATCCATGGGTCCTTAGGGAACTGGCAGATGAAACTGCTAAGCCACTATACGTTGTATTTGAGAAGTTGTGACAGTCTGATGAAGTTTCTACTAACTGGAATAGGGGAAACATAACCCCCATTTTTAAAAAGGGAAAAAAGGACCCAGAGAACTACAGGCCAATTGGTCTCACCTCTGTACCCAGCAAGATTGGTGACAGCCAACACAGCTTCACTAAGGATGAATCCTGCCTGACAAATTTGGTGGCTTTCTATGATGGGGCTACAATATTGGTGGATAAAGGAAGAGCAGCTTACGTCTTCTGCCTGGAGTTGTGCAAAGCATTTGACACTCTCCTGCATGACATTCTTGAGTGAAAATTGGAGGGACATGGATTTGATGGATGGACCACTTGGTGCATAAGGAATTGACTAGATTGTTACACTTACAAGTTTTGCAGTCAAAGGTTCAATGTCCAAGTGGAGACCAGTGACAAGTGGCATTCCTCGGGGGTCGGTATTGAGACTGGTGCTGTTTAACGTCTTTGTTGGTGACATGGACAATGGGACTGAGTGCACCCTCAGCACTCCTTTGCCAGTGACACCAAGCTGTGTGATGTGGTGGACGTGCTGAAGGGAAGGGATGTCATCTAGAGAGACCTGGACAGGCTGGAGAAGTGGGTTTGTGCACACCTCGTGACGTTCAACTTAGTCCTGCACCTGAGTTTGCACAATCCCAAGCACAGATACAGGCTGGGTGATGAGGGGATTGAGAACAGCCCTGCAGAAAAAGACTTGCAGGTGTTGGTGGATGAAAAACTGAATATGAGCCACCGATGTGTGCTCACAGCCCATAAAGCCAGTCACACCCTGGGCTGCATCAGAAGCAGCACAGCCAGCAGGTTGAGAAAGGTGATTCTCACCCTCTACTCTGCTGTGGTTGAGACCCCACCTGGAGTACTACATCCAGCTCTGGGGCCCACAACATAAAAAGTACATGGACCTGTTGGAACATGCCCAGAGGAGGGCCACAAAGATGATCGGGGGGCTGGAGCACTTCCCCTACGAGGACAGGCTGAGACAGTTGGGGCTGTTCAGCCTGGAGAAGATAAGGCTCTGGGGAGACCTTTTAGAGGCCTTCCAGTACTTCAAGAGGGGCTGCAGAAAAGAGAAGGAAGGACTTTTTGCCAGGAAGTGTAATCACAGGATGAGGACTAACAGTTTCAAGCTGTAAGCAGGTAGATTGAGATTAGATATTGGGAAGAAATTCTTTCCTTTGAGGTTATGGAGACCCTGGAACACATTACCCAGAGAAGTTGTGGATGCTTCCTCCCTGGAAGTGTTCAAGTCCAGGCTGGATGAAGCTTTGAGCAACCTGACCGAGTGGGATGTGTCCCTGCCTGTGGCAGGGCGGTTGTAACTAGATGATCTTTAAGGTCTCTTCCAACGCAAACCTGTCTATGATTCTATGATGTTAGTGTAAGGAATGTATTACTTTTGATTCAAAGTGGTTTATCCTGGTGAGATAACGGAAGCAGCAGGTATTTTAGGAAGGATGTTCCCATACAAGCAGTAAAGAGAAGGAAAATAGGACTGAAAAGATAAAAAAGCCTCTTCCTTTTCTTTCATAAGTAGAAGGAGGGAGAATGAAGGAATGTTTCCAGCAGTCAGGAATGGGAGATGGAAGAAAACTGAGAGAGGAAGTATGTGTTTGGTATCACAGAGAGCTCATAAAATTCTTTCCTATAGTCATTTATCTCAGTGCCATGAAATTTTCATCATGATGACAACATGATGAGAAAAATACAGCAAAGTACTAGCAAGGATTCATGCGGTTAATATGCTTCGACAGAAGAAAGAATTTTCCTTTTGAATTAGGAAGACTGAAGTTCTCAAAAACTTCTGCAACTTTTAAAGAGTTGTTAAGACAACTTACTCTGCAAGCAGTTTTGCAGTTAAAAGATTTCCTGAAATATTTCAATATTGCCTTGTTAGCTTTTCTAAATGACTTTACTGTATTTGGAGACATGGTTGAAACTTTTTCACAATGAAAGGAGATTGTGTGAGGGATCAAACACAAATTCCAAGTGTAAGTGGTTGAATAGCTGCACTTATGTAGCATAATCATTTGTTCTGAAATCTGGGTGGGAGCTACACATCACAGGAGGGGTTATGGTACACTGACCTTAACCAGTTTGCTAGACTGAGCCCAGTAGCTCATTAAGCGCATTATTCTGCTCTACTGAGAATTATATTATTCCTCTAAATGAACTTCACATGCCAATACATTTCCATTTTTTTCCTTTGTGAACAGAGCTCTTTCTTCCTTTTCACATATTTACGCTTGACAATCAGCTTCTGATGACTTTAGGTAGTAAAGACTGTATTGCTTGGTTTACACATTATGCAAATCATAACTATTACCATACAGACCTTAGTAAGAAATAATCATTCCTTTTTGTTTGATTTTTTTCACCCGAAGAACTGTAAAATCTGCTTCACTGCTAAGAGGTAAACTCTTTCATGGTTTGATCACTTCAGGAGTGCTTGACCTCAGAGAATTTTTTCCTGTTATATGGTTTGTCCTAAAAAAGTAATATAGAAGTAAGTATATGGAGGTTTGAAATAAAGTTTTTGATGCAAAGTTGAGCTTTAAGAAAGTAAGTCTCTGATGTGTTTTTGAATGGATAATTTGGCACTGTGTGTAAGTGCATTATCATACAGCCCTTACCTAATTATATGCTCTTTTTCTACCCAGTATAAACTGAGAACAAAATGTGGAAAAACTCTATTAAATGGAATGCATAGAAGACGTATAGGCAGCATAGCACAGAATGAAAATAGGCCTGCAACCCTTGGTGCCTTTTCTTCATCCTTCTAGACCTGATGTCTTAGGCATTATCACAGGAAGGGAGACAGGGCCCTGTGGGCCCTCTTTTTATCTAGTTTGTGTGTGTCTCATGTTTATTGACAGCAGTAAATGGCATAAAGCTCCTTGCAGAAAAGAACTGTTTTCTAACTCTGAAATCTTATGCTTGTTAATACAAAAGAGCAGAAAAGTGGTGGATGGTAAAATACTGTAGCAGGGACCTCTATGACTCAGTATTCTGTACTGTGATAATAACCTCAGCCAGGAATAAAGAGTCATTAAACAATAGGACAGTAGAAAGAAGAAAATTCTCAAGCTCGGGTATACTGGGTCCTACTTGGATTAGATAGAAAATGACAAAGAATGTTTGAGTGTGAGAAAAACATTTTACCAAATCTTACTCTGAGCAATGATCAACTTCATTTGCTGAAATATTAATAATTTTGTTGCAAGGGATACAAGAATTCTTCAGGCTATAATCTCAGTGCGTAAACTTCGCAAAATTATAAACTACAGAAAAGCCGCCATTAAATTGCAGACAATCAGGAAATGTGAAACTGCAGCCAGTAGAGAAATAGACTGTCACCACTGTAGTCTAAAGGTCGTTACTCACAGGGGAGCAGAAGATTCTCCTTCCTCTTTCTCTGGTGCTGGGTAAGATGCTGGATAATTTGTCTGCATTTCAGGTTTAAAGGTGTTAAAGGTAGGCTCCATATGCTTCCTCTCATTGAATAAATAATAGGCTTCTGTTGGGTCCTCAGTAGCACAGTGAAGTAAGGACTCGTGGAGGTCTCCAGATACTACAGTTCTAGAACCACTTTGAATTTTATGTCAACGGGACATTTTTGCTGAATTTTATCCACATTCTTTAGAAGGATATTTTATTTCAGTTTAATGCCCTGAATGTACAAATATCTACTACATGCTTTGGAATTTTTCCTTAACAATAGTTTAGAAACTTAATCTTGAAAGATACTTAGGATTTTTCTGGAGAATTTGAATGCTAATATGATCTAAAAAAATGCTGAATGGAAGTTGCATGGTTATTGTTTGCACACACACAGTTAAAGGAAACCATTCAAACTGATTGTGTCATCTTTGCATTGGAATTATTTTACTCACCTCAAGCAATTGCACAATTCAGCATACAGTTCTTCTGTTAGTCAGTATTTTACCAATTTGACATAGTTACAGCTGTAGGCCTGTCATTTTTCATATTTCTACCTAGATCAAAATGTTAATGTGTAATATATTTTCTATCTGGAAAGCACTGTTTTACCAGCATAGATGCTTTAAAAGTAATACTATTTTTAAAGAAGTAATTATTTCTCAACATCCTGCAATAATTAATAGATTCCGTGCTAGAAATTTTTTTCTACATGTTGCAAATATACTCAGCTTCATACACTCTGCCTGAAAAACTATGAATTCTTGGATTTTGTACTTCTTACTGTGCATTTCCAATCCTCAAGTTGCCCTGGAAAAAAGCATATAAAGTGATCATACAAAAACAATATGCTTTTTTTGGAGCATCTTTTTTAAAAACAGAATCTCTGCAGAAAAAAACAGAGATAGTAGCAGCAAAGAAGGCTAGGTACTGGTAAGTTACTTATATTTCTCCTAGCTGAAATGGGTGCTGCATATTCTTTCTGCAGATGTCTAGAAAGCAGGGAAAGTCCTGAAAAGGTAACCTTTTTTTTTTTAAAAAAAATAATGAAATTATGCAAAGATTTCAGAGAAATATGAATTTGTGTTTCAATTTGCATTCATTTATTGGCAATCTGAATTTTCAGCACAATTTGTCCAGAGGGCAGTAGCTCTTCTGAACACGTTTGGCTCATATCAGTTCTTGAAAAGCTGAGACTACAAGTAGTCCTTGGCACATGTATAAATATTAACCAAAAAAGCACCATTCTCTGTTTTGCTCTAGCTGAATTCAAGAACATATGTGGGAATATTCCTGGGTTCACTTTTGACATTCATACTGGAAAAGCTGTTGGTAAGTTTTGCTAAACTTGTTTTAACCAAAAATTATTTTGCGTAAGCTCATTACAGCTGAATAATGATAGCAAAATGAACATTTCAGGTAATAAAATTCAAATTTTATTGTGGAGTTAAAATGGTAATGCGATGTAAGTTGTAAGACCAATTTTTGTGTTAAATAGTTCTGATATACTTTTTTATTTCTACGTTTTGTTATGATCTTTTGCTCACCTTCTGTCCTAGTTCATGGTTTTGAATTTTAATTGCCATGATAAAAGGTTTTGGCTTCAAAAATTATATGAAACTTGTCTGTACATTTGTAACAGTTCTGCATCTTCTCTGATATTTTTTATTACTCTCTGTTGATCACTTCCTGAACTTAACATGGTTTATTGTCTCTCATAATGGGTGTATGTTTAGATTTATATCCTGTAGACAACTTCTGTAGATTAAAAGGAATTTCTCAACACAATTTATGCACAGTGAAATTGAGAATCCAAACAGTACCTAAAGCCATGAAGTACTGTATCTTGACTAGCTCATCTCACTTTCAGACATTGATGAATGTAAGGAAATCCCAGGAATCTGTGCAAATGGTATTTGCATCAATCAGATTGGCAGCTTCCGCTGTGAGTGCCCCACTGGATTCAGCTACAATGACCTACTCTTGGTCTGTGAAGGTGATTTGAAATGACATTATTTTCTACCTAGTCCCCGTAAGCATGCTTATCTTAAACTGAAGGGAAACATTTGATTCACAGATTTTTTTGAAATCAGAGAGACACACTGTGAGACTTTTGTAGGGCTCAAGTCTGTATATAAGTCTGTGGCGTATTTGTCTTTAATACGTATGCACATACACTTAATACAGTTTGGAATAGTTCTGTGTCAAGCAATTCACTGACTCCAAAGTAGAAATTAAATTAAATTTAGTTTGGTTTGTGTTTTGTGTTTTGTGGTTTGGTTTGGGTTGATTTGATTTGGTTTGGTTTGGTTTGATTTGGTTTGGTTTGGTTTGGTTTGGTTTAGGGAGGAAATTTAATTCTTGTTCTTAAAACACCTCAAAGAAAAGTTTCCTTGAGTTTTTCTGTCTAGTGTCTGTTCTTCTGCAGTTTTATAAGTAGAGAAGTTCATAGAAGCTAGTAGTGAAATTTCACGTCCTAAAGTCAAGAGGAGTTTTGTCATTGGTATTCAAGGGTCTTGTGTTGACGTGCACACCTTAAAAAGCTAACAAACCATGCCACTTCCGTTTTCATTTCAAAGACAAAGAGGGACATTTTTTAATACATAAATTAATTTCTTTAGATGTTTAAAATTGCAAAGACACTTCAGTGTGTGTTAAGTTGGATTTGTAGGCTTGTCCTTCATCGAAAAAGTATGTTATGGATAAAGTTGTATAGATTTTGCTTTTCGTTTGCCTTTATGGCACAGGAGCCTGAAGGTCGGAATATTCTTGCTTTATTGAGAGCAAAAGATCTGTCTTTCACGAGACAGATTATACAGTCTAAATTCTAGGCAGAAGTGATGTATCTTGAGGTTTCTGATGTCTGAACCGTGACTCTTGGTATTTCAGATATTGACGAGTGTGGCAACGGGGACAATCTCTGTCAGAGAAATGCAGACTGTATCAACAGTCCAGGCAGCTTCCGCTGTGAATGTGCTGCTGGTTTTAAACTTTCACCCAATGGTGCTTGTGTTGGTAAGAAATCAGATGACGTTTCTTCGAATGGTTGAATATGTACCTAATCAATGGCATATGCATGATCCTCTCGAAGGGTAAAAGCATCTTTTATTTTCTGTTACCTTGTGTTCTCTCATTTTATGTAACAATTTTTACTTTCTAGCTCTGTTTCTCTGTAAAAGGAAGAAAAGACAAGGTAAAATTCTTTAAGAACGTTCTTGATATATCAACCAAATCCTAACAGTAGTTTTGACCTCGAGGTGTATATGCAAGAAGTTTTATTATGATTCAGGCTTACTTATGGATAATTTTGAGTCTGGTTTTAATACTAATAACAGATTGTAAAAACATGTTTGTGTAAAATGAATGAATAATAAAATTCAGTAATATGTACCATCTGTTTTATATTTTTATTACAGATCGCAATGAATGTCTGGAAATTCCTAATGTGTGCAGTCATGGCTTATGTGTGGACATGGAAGGAAGTTACCAGTGCATATGTCACAATGGTTTCAAGGCATCTCAAGACCAGACTATGTGCATGGGTATGGAAAGAAAATGCTTTTGTGTGTGGTTTGGTAGAGTTTGTGGGGTTTTTTGAAAGGAGGAAAAGAGTCTAATTTTTGAGGAGGTCTTAGCAACACTGAAAGACTGAATTATACAGTTTGAGACTTTTGTGAATGATGTACGTAAAGTTTTCTTGGAAAGTATATGTTAGTTTGAGGAAAAAAATCACAGCATTCTCAGAGATAGCTCCACGTTACTGAAGAACATATTAACCTTGTTTTCACAAAAATACATCATAGTGGCTTATTTGACAGAAGTTTGTAGGTCATATCAAAGAGTGATAGAGTTTGGAGATAAAAGGTTTTTCAGTAATTTAGAAATCTATTGAGTTCGTGTTTCATTTAGAAAACAAAATCCCATGTTGAATGTAACTTAAATCTATACACATTTTGTATTAAAATGTTGACATTATAGTGATAAGAAATAAGAAGATGACAAAATAAGAGTGCTTCCATGTTCTTTTATTGTTTAGAAATAGTTTTATAGGATTTAAAAAAACAGGTAATGCATATGCCAATTTGTTAATTCAGTTCTCTGAGAAAAGTAACCTTTTTTTAAATATTTATCATTTCAATGTCAGTTCTAAACTAGAGAAGTTCAGTGTCTTTGATGACATAGGTGTGTTCCAATTTCAACTTTAGACAGACATTTAAAACCTATTCATATTGCATTATGTATTCATATATGCCTTGAGTCTTCTTATATTTGAACTAAACCACATTTGTCAAACCATCTGAGGAGGATATTTGGGAAAATGACTTGTGTTAATATTGCAAGATTTGGAGACCCTTGTTATTCAAAACAGTAACTTAAATAATTCTAAAACTAACTCTAAAAATTCTGTAGTGTGAAATACAAATCAGTGGCAATGACAAGTTATGGAAGTGAACCATATGAAAAAATGTTTACTTTCTGTAAATAAATAAAATGTTTCAGAAAGTCCACAAGAACAAGAACAAGCTCTAAGTGCCTTCCAGATCCCCGTGAAACTCCAGAAATTACTTAAACACACAGCAGGAAATATTAAATATTAGTGCTTTTTAAAACTAAGGTTTCCAGGGGTTGGTAAGCAGTCCTTATAGTAGATGTAGTATTTGACATAATATATTTACATGTGTTAATTGACTTGTGGACAGTAACACAAAATTCCTATATAGAACATTTTCAACTGGCTTTCATGGGCTTAGGAGTAAAATATGCATATAAAATTTGAGACAGTTCAGTCTCAAACAACTCAGTCGTTTGTATTAGGTTCTGATCAGTAGTGTACATTAAGAAGTATTACTATGGAAAATAAAAAGACAGAATACTTTGAGATACTGCACATGCACACAATTTTATCGTTGCGTGTAACAGTATCTTATTTAAAAATTGTCCTCGTTCAAGCAAAAACAAAACCAATTCTGCTCAGCAATTTCATTTTTCAGCCGAGTCTCTTCTGAGAGGCTGCACTTTCTGAACTCAACAGCATGGTTTTGCAGACATTGTGTGCTGCTAACAGTGACATCTCCTGATGTCTACAGTTACTGTCAAGGATTGGTATGCAGAAAGGCTCTTGCTGATACTTGCTGTTATAGTGACCACAGTTGCTGCTAAATGTTGCGTGCCGTGTTCGGTCACAAAGAGGAAAAAGATCACACCTGCAGGAAGAAATGGACAGAATGGGTGACCCAAACCTGACCAGCAAAGTCTTCCTTTCCATATATGTCATATTCCCTATAGATCTGAGGAATCATGAGGGTAAAGCCCTCTTCAATGGACAGTGTCCATTCTTCAGCCCTTGATCCTGATCCTGAGTTCCCAAATCCATCTCCCCTCTGACGCTGAGCCTGGGGGTTCCCCAGTCTGCCTGCTTTGCAGCATCAGTGGTCATTGCTGTTGGTGGGGGGGGAGTTGAGTTCAATATGGGTTTTGTATATATTTGTATATATTTCATTATTTTCATTATTTTGTTGTTAGTACTATTATTGTTTCATTAAAGCTGTTCTAGTTTTCTTTTTGACTCCATAAGCCTCTCTGCCTTAGAGGGGTTAATAGAGAGCATCTCTCATTGGTTTAGTGGACAGCCTAGACCTAACCCTTGACAAAAATACATATAAAAATGTGTCATGTAACATTTTCAGATGTGTACACAGACGCCATAAAATCAGTAGTATAAATAGAAAATACGGCAGATGAAAGAAGAGACCAAGGTTTAGAATATTGTCACTGTGCACAGATAGCACATTAACACTTAACTCGGAAAATCAGTTCCCATTACAGTTTTGTTTTTCTTTGCAGATGTTGATGAATGTGAACGCCATCCATGCGGAAATGGAACTTGTAAAAATACAGTTGGATCATATAACTGCCTCTGTTACCCAGGATTTGAGTTAACTCATAATAATGATTGCATGGGTAGGTCATGTAATGCAAACCTTGTTTTCATCGCTGCTGCCTTGACGTGCAAAGGAGGATGGTATAGAGTTAAAACTCAAATAGAAGACACATCAGGGTGCTAAGAAAGTTGATTGCGTGCAGTAACTGATACTATTAGAAGCCCTGGAGTTTAATCATTAATACGATTTTTTTAAGCAATTAAAATATTTTTGCTGGCCAGATAGAGATAATGGAATCCCTATATCTCTAGACCACTGGGGCGTCCATACAGGTCACTGACGTTTTAATGCAGCCCTCACCTCCATTAGATTTCTTGGGTAATTACAGCATGTGTCCTTTACTACTGGCACAGTCTGTAGGTATCACTCTCAATTTATCACACCACCATTGCGACCTCATGAGTTTAAAATAATTTCTTTATTCCACCATACTATTCAGTGTTTGCACACAGTGTGGAAGAGGAAGCAGACCAACGGTAAGAACGCCAGGACAACTGATCTACCAAACCTGCTTTTCTAAGATCAACTCAGTTTACATGGGCTTTGTGCAGGCTTTGCTATTTCCTATTCCCTAAAGCACAGGACACCAGAATATCAGAAGATTTTGGACAATTTGAATTCCTGGATACTTCCTTGTGGTAAAGCAATTAAAATTTTCCTGGGCTGCAGAACAGGCTTATAACTCTCTGGAGATCCTCTCCCTTGTGCAGTGCATAACCCAAAAGACAGGGAGGCCTTACGTTACTTGCCGTTACAGAGGCAAGACAGAACGAAGTCTTCTGGCTTCCTTTCTGGTTCAAGAGGATTTAAAATAAGTATTTTTAATCCTATCCTTGTCCAGGAGAGAGAAAATTAAAAACTTGTTGAGGTAACAAGAGTCTGCTGTCAAGGAATGGCACTGTATCTTTCCCTTGGAAGTATAGTTCCTGAAGGGAACCGGCAGGAAGGCTGGAGGGGGACTTTTTATGGGAGTGTCCACTGATAGGACAAGGGGAAATGAGTTTAAATTGAAGGAGAATAGATTTAGATTAGATTTTAGGAAGAAATTCTTCAGTACCAGGGCGGCAAGACTTTGAAATAAATGGCCCAGAGATGTTGTAGCTGCCCCCTCCCTGGAGGTGTTCAAGGCCAAGTTGGATGGAGCCTTGAGTAGCCTGATCTAGTTGAGAGGCGTCCCTGCCCATGACAGGGAGGCTGGATTAGATGATCTCTAATCTAAGGTCCCTGCCAAGTTAGGACATTCTATGTTTCTATGATAGTTGCCAATCTGCTGCCTGGAGCCTTCAGTGGCTCTGCTCTAGGCTCTGCCTTCAGGGAGGCTGAGGAGACCAAGCTGACTCGGAGACTTAGCCTCCTGTTAGCGCTCCTCTTGACAGCTTGGAGAGCCTCAGGGCTTTCTTCCAAGCTATCTCAGTCATCCAAACGCAATTTAGCCCACCTCAGTGTAATACTTTGGAGGCATTTCTACTTGTAGAACTGAAACAGGAGAAATGCACTATGGACTAAACCAGTAACACAGGCATGGCTGTACTGGTGGAAGCTCAAGGTACATCTTTCTCAGAAGGTGATACTTAATGCTCTGGAAAAAGACTAAAACCTCTTTGGTGAAGCTGATGTTTATCTTGATCATTCAAATACAAGTGCTGTAAAATAGCAGTCAGTTGTTCTTCCACCATGTTGCTTATCCAATCTCTTCATGTATTCTGACACTTTCTCATCTGTACTTTTAACTTACGCAGTGGTCCTTTAAGTTTGTATTATGAAAGGAACTCCTCAAACTAATAAGCATTTTCAAACCTCATTTTTAGAACTGTTAAAAAGGAGAAAGTGATCATGCAAAAGGAAGTGACATATTTCAAAATTTGGAAATGACAAGGCAGGTTTTACGAGGAAATTCAAGTGCATATAAATCCAGATAAAATCCAGAACACTTTGTGTAGCGTTTTCTTTTCTGTGTCTGGAGTTAGCAGACACTTTGCAGTATTTGAATGTCTCCAGATGCAGTAGCTGAGGTAATGCTGCAAGTCTGAAAATTATAATACCCTGTAAAAAAGTGTTGTTTATACAGTGCACTCAGCTGAGAGATACTTTGAAATAGCTGTCAGCTGTTCTCTTGTGGATGCAAGATTTGCCTGTTCCACAGAAACATGTATTGCAACTTGAGTGTGTTTATAACATACTGTATTTACTATGCCGGAATTCAACTCTTTTTTCCGGGGTTCTATTTTGGTTTTTTTTTCACAGATATCGATGAGTGCAGTTCCTTCTTTGGTCAGGTGTGCAGAAACGGACGGTGTTTCAATGAAATTGGATCCTTCAAATGTTTATGTAATGAAGGATATGAGCTTACTCTAGATGGCAAAAATTGCATTGGTATGTATAGTACAACACAGAGACATTAACATACTGATGAGCTGAAATAAATTATTAGCTCTCATCTAGAGGGAAGAACCACAGTCTAAGTACAAAAAGACAGTAACTTTAATAACTGGGTTATGGAATAATTTTTGATTTTCAAGCATTTAAATGCCTTAGAAGAAGAAAATTAGAAAAGAATCCTACAGTCTTTTTCACAAATAGGCCTGTTTTGTTACTCTAAGAATTACATGATTCTAAAACCTTTCTTGGTTCTGTCTACTCTCCAAAGATACTAATGAGTGTGTGGCACTACCTGGTTCATGCTCTCCTGGTACCTGTCAAAATTTGGAAGGATCATTCAGATGCATCTGTCCACCAGGATATGAAGTAAAAAGTGAAAGTTGTATTGGTAAGGCAAGTTATAACTGTTGCTTCTGAACAATTTAAAAATTAGAAAAAGCATCTGATTCCAATTTGTACACCCTAATGTCTGTGAATGTTAAAATCATGTTGACATGGAATGAGTAAGTATGAATAGTCTTTAGCAAGAGATTTTAAAAATAACAGGCAAGGTATTTTATACTGTATTTTTACTGTATTTAGTACATTAACATTTTTATGAGTGCGAACAAAAATATTTACTTTTTATTTGCTTTTACTTTCATTCACTTTTTGTAAAGTATAATTGATAAAACGCACCAACCTATATACCGATTTTATATAATATTTACAGAAATGTAATCATTGGAAATCAGTGCATGCACTAAGCTCCTGGTGTCAGAGGCCTCTGAAGTTCAGAAATCCTGAAAAAATTACGGGGCTTATGGGAAGAGTTTTGTTTCTTCTAACAACTGTTTTCTGACTTTGTGTTTTGTGTAATGTCTCTCAAGTGCTGAGATTTCCAGGAAGAGTGTACAGCAGACTTTTCATGAGTTTGCATGTTCTTACTTGTTCTTATAAGTCTTGCCTAAAGCATTGAATATCATTCAGGAGCTGAGTGTCACATAATTAAGATTTCACATGACAGAGTATCAGAAATAAATCCAAATCACAAATCCCTTTTCCAACAGAACAAAGCACAGGACTACTGTGAATTTATTGGGCATTTAAATTAGGTAACTAACTTAGAAGACTTAGGTTTCTGCATGGTCAGAGGACAAAGCACCTGTCCCTCCAGTGTGACTATATTAAGAAATGTGGTTTTCAGCCTAAGTGGCTGAAGTTAGCTGCTGTGACACCCCTAGACACACATGCACCCAAATAACCCTCAGTAATAAATGAGCAGATTGTTCTTGTATGGACTGGAAAAACATTGGCAAGAACATAAAGATTTGGCCTACAGCCCACCTACATCTGTATGGGTGCAGAAACTGGAGCGTAGGAGCCTTTTTGAATTTTCTTTTGAACAACAGGGTGTATTTTCTAAGGCCCAGAGTTCTCTGCTTTTGTGTCATGCCATCATATTCAGTTTGCCTGCCAACTTCATGGTTTCTTTTGGCAGCTGCTGTTTCCATATTAGCAATCATGTTTGAGATTAATTCAAACCACCTACAGTTGTAAAATCATGAGTTTAAAATGAAAGCTTCTGGTTTTCCAGGAATATCACTGTTTGTGGCCGCTTTAGTAACCTCACAGAATTTCTCAATTTTTTTGACAGCATCAGTGACTGCCAAAAAGATTTTAGTGTGAACTGAGTAAAAGGGACTTAATTGCATTCTTCTTCATTCTGCCATGTATCCAGAAGATTTACAACTAAAGTGCTTAGAATGTGCCTAGATAATCACGTGTGACTGCACTAATACTTTGATTAATATTATGACAGCTCTCCCAGCATACGCTCTCTATTACTTCTCATCTTATACACAAACAGCTTTATAAGAATGCATTGCTTCTGTCTGTAATCTGAAGTGTGGCATTGGCTAAATTGCGTTTTGAGGCCAGGGTGATTATGTGCAGGGGAAACCAAAACAGATGGGAGCCACAGGAAAGTTCGTGGTTTTCACCTACCTATGTAATAGATTTCCTTTCATTTTATGGAAATGAAGGGGAGGGGACTCATTTACTTCCACAGTCTGGCTAGTCACCTGTTCATTGTGGCTGCCAAAGAATTTCTTCCACTAGTCCCAAGCCATTCATTGCACTGTCATTACTTCAGAAGAGCAGTTTTTCCATCTCATTATTGCAGTTGAATTGCTGAGCTTTGTATATTAGCAACTGCCACACTAACTAGGAAATTAATTACCTTTGTTTCAGGTAAATAAGCTGACTTAAAATGCTTCCTGTAGTAAGAAGAGCCTGTCCATGGGAAGCTGCTTGGTCATATGCCAGATAATGCTACAGTTGTTTATTCATGTGCTGTACCAAATAGTAACTCTGAAAATGGTGCTGAAGCTAATATTTTTCAGGAATAATGTCACAGAATCAATTCTTATCTGACCTCTTCTATCACTTCACTTATATTTTCCTAGTGAGATAGACTGTTATTTCCACTGTTTGGTTATCTGGTAAAGTCAGGTCAGTTTTTTAAGATTTGTCTACATTCTGAGGAAGATCAATGTGGATGTTACTGTTTATGGGTCTCTGTGACGGTTCTTTTATTATCCTTTCCTGAAAGACTCAGGAGGAGATTATTAAAATACACTTCAGAATTTATTATATTAAAATTACCTTTACAAATTACTTCAACAAGGAGGCTTATACCTTCTGTCACTGTTTGCAAAATGGAATAAACCAAAGTATGGTTTAAAATAGTAAGTATGAAAAATCAGAAGTCTATTTGAAAAATCAGAAGTCTATTAAGGTATTACTTTGTTGTCTGTATCGATGCAAGATAAGCAGCCTGATGCTGTTTGAGCTGCACAAGTTTACAGGCATTTGGTGTTTATATTAAGTATTCTTTATTTTCGTTTAAGTTCTTAATAATTATAAAAATACCTCTATTTTAAAGAAAAAATAAACCTCCCATTTAAATAGTCATAGCAATATATGCTGAATTATGCCATTGAACAGGAAAAAAATGAAATAACATAAAGAGTGGCAGTAGAAGACCGGTAAATATAAATCTGAATATATAAATACAGTCATAGGTCTCACTCTACCTAGCTATAGGTAGCTAGCTAGCTAGCTATAGTTTTAGTTCGAGATTCAGTCAATCAGCATGAAAAAAGCCCACATTTAATTACAAAGAACACCCATCATACAGATTTTTAAAAGTTCATCTTTGGATGTTTTATGTTACAGGAAAATATTTTTCTTATCAGAAATGTATCTTCTCTTCTGTTTCAGTCTGAAAGCATTTATTTAAGTTTACATTATACATATGGGAAAGAACAGAGAATGGTATTTGAAGAGGAAAGTGATGCCAGTGAAACACTCTAATTTGAGAGTTAGAGGAACCTTGCCTTTAGACTGCTTTATCTCTTGGGTGCTTTACTGGACGAGCGCTGCTGAAGCTAAATAAATACATAAGCAATGATTTTGAACGAAGGAATTCACAGCCAATGGAGTTACGGTGAACCTTTTCTCCTTTAATTTACAGATATTAATGAGTGTAATGAGGATCCGAACATCTGTCTCTTTGGCTCTTGTACAAACACTCCAGGAGGTTTCCAGTGCATCTGTCCTACAGGTTTTGTGCTGTCTGATAATGGACGGAGATGTTTTGGTAAGTTCGGTCCCCAGGTGTGGCCTGATCTAGTTGAGAGGCATCCCTGCCCACAACAGGGAGGTTGAACTGGATGATCTCTGAGGTCCCTTCCAGCCTAGGCCATTCTATGATTCTATGATTCTATGAACTTATTCTAACAGATAACAGATGTTTTGTAGAATGAGTAGAAAGGGACCTCTGCAGGCCCTTCTGAAACTAAGCCCTTGTGAGGGTTGGGAAGTGCTTTCAAAATAGTATGAAAAATACAGGCCTAACATTATTCCTCTGAGGGCTGGACAGTCATCATCTAGCCAGATAGGAGGTACTATCTCCACATAAATGTATTTTCTTTATTAGATACTCGTCAGAGCTTCTGTTTCACTAACTTTGAGAATGGGAAATGCTCAGTGCCAAAGGCTTTCAACACCACAAAGGCAAAGTGTTGCTGCAGTAAAATGCCAGGAGAAGGATGGGGTGACCCCTGTGAGCTCTGTCCGAAGGAAGAAGAAGGTAAACATCAAGATTTAAAATAAAGCCTTTTTAGGTGGGAGAAAAAGAAGAGTACATTTTACGTGTAACTTTGATCATTAGAAGGAGAGATCTTTTTGACACTCTCTTTTAATGGCCTAGAGAACCTTTTTCAGGTCAACAGAAGGGGTAAAATTAAATAGAAAGAACCCCAGAAAAAGAAAAATACTGAGTTGTTGGTTCTGCTCTGTAGAGAAATGAACTAGTAGCCTGCATCTGTAGATCTAGCCTGCCTTAGACAAAAGAGAAGAACAAAATGGGGCAGTGCCAAGAATCCCTGAAGAATTGGCAGTTTTCAGTTCTTGGTTTTCTCCAAGTATTGAAAGAGAAGAGCACTAGGTATGTGTAAAGGGAAGCTCAATGAGTTCTTGTGCTGCTTCCCTGACCTAGAGACAGTGTTAGTTTTGCTTCTGGCAAGGCAGCATAATGACCACAATTTAAACAGTTGGCAGTTTTGAAAAAATGTGATGTAGAAGATTTTTCAGTGGCTTTGACTGTTATGGTTCGGTCTCTCATTCTTTTCTTAAAAGAAACATACTTCTGCAGTTGCTTTTCAGGACCTGTGTCCCTATGGTCATGGAACTATTCCTGGTATTGATGATACACGTGAAGGTAGGTATTCTTTTTCCTGATAATTAAAAAAAATATTTATACTTAAAACTAGGCTTGGATATTATAGTATCTGATGGCATATTCCTCACAGCCCCGGGTGACAAGAGGCTGACCTTTAATAAATGTGGACCATTATGAAAAGAAAGTTAAAATTTGATAGTTAAAACCTTTGAAATTGCATAGCTAGAGAGAAAAAGAATAGGGCCCTTAGTCTTTTTTAAATGATTTTTTCAGACATGATGCAGAAGTGCATCAGCTAAGTGGTTGCTAATGTCTTCCTGCTTTTCAGATGTCAATGAATGCCTTGAGAGCCCGGGGATTTGCTCAAATGGTCACTGCATCAATACTGATGGATCGTTCCGCTGCGAGTGCCCTATGGGATACAACTTGGATTACACTGGAGTACATTGCATTGGTGTGTCCATATTTCATAAATAATAAGAATGGTAACACTTGAATTTAAAACACAATTTGAAATGTTTCCCAGTTCTCATCAGTTTGCATTTACCCTTTTATACAGATACTGATGAATGTTCAATTGGCAACCCATGTGGAAATGGTACATGCAGTAACGTGATCGGCAGTTTTGAGTGCAACTGTCATGAAGGATTTGAGCCAGGACCAATGATGAACTGTGAAGGTAACTTGTTCTCATTACTTATTTTTTCCTTTAGTTTCTGTCCAGTCCTCAGTACTCAAATTACTTCACAAAGCAGGCTTTGGTGCTGCCATAAGTAGGAGGAGAAAAAGTTTCTCTGCTTGAAATATGTCATTGAAAAAGCCCTGAATTGATTTAAGCAGTATTTTTAGTTTATCGCAGGTTTTTCCAAACTGCATGTTGTGACATGTTACGTTATTAATCTGTTTGTTGGAAAGAGAGGACAGGGGGAGGGGGTGTAACTATTGAGCCCTCAAAATACCCTCATAACCGGTATAGCTAAGCATGGCAAAAATGCCTGAATTTGCAGAGCTTTTTTCATAACTGAGACAAGAAGTTATTAACTGACCCATTCATCACAATTATAGTAACAAGTGAATTATACTGAATGTAATAAAATGAAGTCAGACCAGTGGCCCATGTAGTCCATTATTTCGTCCCTCACAGCTGAAATGCTATTATTTCAGCCTGCAAGCATGACTAACAGCTTTCCGCAGTTCACTTCTCTAATACAAGATCAGAGGCTGTACGGAAAACATGCTGTAAACTTGGCGATACCTCTCTGCAGGGTGTGTTTAGTATCCACTTAGAGATCTGTTGTCCAAGATTCTGTCCAGCATGGTCTTGATACCATCTGCTTCTGCAGCCTCTTTTGGCAGCAAGATCCAGAATGTCACTACTCTCACTACTTAGAGAAGTATTTTCTTTCATCTCCTTCAAACTAATACCTGTTAGTTTCATTTAGTATCCCTTAACGTTTCATAGTGTGCGAATTGTGTACAAACATTCTCCTCTCATGGAATGCTAATAAGGGTACTTCTTAAACACTTTGTGTTTTATGAATCATAGTTTGCTTTCTGAATCAAGAATTTGTTTTTCTTAGAGTTGGGAAAAAAAGCTGACATCTCTTGTCATATAAAAATTCATTAAAAATGGAAATGCTAATAAAAATATATAAAAATCTGAAACAGGCCTGTCACAACTTGTCATTCTAAGCCCAAGTAATATCATATTTATTATGCAACGATTTTTATGCATTGCTTTGTTGTGTTTTCCCTGGCTGCTCAAAAACCAAACAGTCACAAGTTTCTGGTTTTTTGAATTATTACATTTCTGACACATCTTAGCTGACAAAAGAAGCATAGGTGTAAGAAAACCTTCTTGATGATTGTTTTAAAACTTAGTTGAGAATGATTATTTTGTTTCTTTATGTTCAGATATAAATGAATGTGCTCAGAATCCCTTGCTTTGTGCTTTTCGTTGTATCAACACTTACGGTTTCTATGAATGCACATGTCCAGTTGGCTATGAACTAAGAGAAGACCAAAAGATGTGCAAAGGTAATGACTACTGTACAAACTTCTCCCCAGCTTCCATAGCCCTGTATTGGCCAAAGCATAGTCCAAATATTTCTCTGCGTCTTGCATCCTCCCAGTGAAATGTAGCAAAGAGCCCAGCAGATGATGATTTACTTTTTCAGAACTCATATAAGACCAGTGTCTAGGTTCTTCTTCAGTGCTTATTAGTTAGGAAAGTCTGTCGGTCCTTTTTCTGTATGTCTCCAGCAACTGAATGTACTGGAAATAAGTTAAAACACAAAATACATGTTTTTTTCTCAGATCTGGATGAGTGTGCCGAAGGTCTCCATGACTGTGAATCAAGAGGCATGATGTGCAAAAATTTGATTGGTACCTTCATGTGCATTTGTCCTCCTGGAATGACCCGGAGACCTGATGGAGAAGGCTGTACAGGTAAAGCTTAGAAAAGGAAGAAAGACATCTACTGAAATACAAACAAGCAACCAAATGAAAAATTCTTTGTATACATATGTAGCAAACTATAAAACAGCAATTCGTAAAGACACTTAAGAGAGCCAATGACGGCTAACATCTTAAACTTTCTTTTTTGTCTCAAGGCTTGATCCTTATCTGAAAGTAGTTCTAAACGACTAGTAAGTACTTCAGAGGAAAACCTCTGGCTTTGTTTCTCTTGTTGTACAACAAAATCAGGAATTTTTTCAGACGCTTGTTAGATTAAAAAAACTAAGTTCTTAAATGAAGGAGACCTCATTTGATGAGTAGGAAGCAAAATTATCGTAAATTAAAAGTTACGTTTTCTTAAGCATTAATAGTGTTTACAAATAATACAACAGTTTCTGAAAGAATTTAAAAAATGAGATTCTAAAAAACCATATAACAGTCGTGAAGAGGAAGAAAAGTGGAAACTGTCATGATTCAAAATAATTCTCCATCCTGTAAGTAAGCAAACAGCTTTCCACCATCATTTTGTCAGTTAGCTGAGGGGAAAACGATGGCTGCATTTTGGCAAATGATACTTTCTTCTTGTACATAAAAAATCCCAAGACCTTTCCAAAGTCCTCCATGTACAGTAGCTGAGGCTGTCATTGGCTCAGAGGAAAAACACCCACAACAGTACATCCATCTCAGTGGATGCTTTAAATCAAAGTAGTTTAAAACACTATCCCTTCAGCAAGTGAATGATTGCTTACCTTTACAGATCTTTATAGGAAAATAATCTGTATTAACAATACAGGTTATATGTATTTATAATCAAATAACCTGTATTATTAATAATAATCTCTATATAATAAACAATCTGTATTAACTTTGCCTTTTTTGCTATATAATGCTGCCTTTAAATCACCTGAGGTTTTTCTGAGATTTTATTTTAGGCATCTGTAAGGGTTTGTAATAGCTTGCAGTAGCTGAGTCATTAGCTGTGGAAGAAAATCCACCAAGATTGTAATCTGTTTCAGGGAAATGATGTGTGGACTGAAATGTGACTGATTGCAGAAGAGGTTAAACGTATTCAGAGACTCTTCATGATTACAGAGTGAAATTTTGTTACTCAAATCATACTTGTAATTCCAGTTTTGTTTAAATGTTACTTGCCAGGTGGAAGTTAAGACTAGAACTTGCTCTGTTGCAAGTATCTTCTGCTTATTGTTATAAGTTTCAAAGAACATAGAAAAATTAAAGCTTTCATTCCAGGAGGCAGTACGTAAAGAAAAGAATAGGATAGTGTTATTAGGAAAGGCCTTTCTAGGCTTTCTAAGTAGTTTTCCACTTCTTGCAAGTATTTTACAGATATTATGCAGAGTAATTAATGCATTCTGTAAGTCTGATATATTTTCCTGGAAGAGTTTGTTTATATATCTTTTAATTTTATTTTTGTAAAGATGAAAATGAATGCCGCACCAAGCCAGGTATCTGTGAAAATGGTCGTTGCATGAACGTTATCGGGAGCTACCGATGCGAATGTAATGAAGGATTCCTGTCAAGTCCATCAGGCATTGAGTGTATTGGTAAATGTCTCTTTCAAACACATTTCATTTTACATTAAAGTATAAAGGATGCAGAGTGTAAATTAGTCTTCTGAGCACCTAGCAGCTGTCATGACTGCAGAAATTAAATAATGAACCTTATTAATTTAACAATGATATAGTATTAAATAAGGATAGGAATGAGGAACATCTTGAGAATGTCACCTGAGTCTAGCAGTCAGGGATCTCACAAAGAAGCGTCTAAATTCAAAAGGACATACATAGAGTTATATAAGTAAAATAAAACAAATACAGTATTTTTTAAAGAAGAAGCAGAGTTTAGTTACCTTAGGTAGAACAAAAACTGGGATTTAGAGCAAAATTGTTTGCATATTCAGAAGACGATCTTAAGCACCATAACACCGCAACTGGTCATCTGAAATTTCTGTACCTTTAATTCAGGCAGCGATTATGAATACAAAATACTAGGATTTCACAAAAACGTTGCAAGATATATTAAAACGTTTTAAGACAGACCTGCACATTAAATCCCAATGAAGTGTTTTATATTAATCAACTTGTGCTTCCTTTTCAATATGTCAAAATTAATTGTTCGTTTTTAGAAATCAAACAGAACTGCAAAACCTTAATTTTTCATGTTCAGTATTCAGGTGTAGATACTTCAAAGTGTTTTACAATACTGAAACTGTATGAGTATTTATTAGTATTTTTGCATCAAAAATACTTGTATATTGTCTTATGTAAGCGCTATAAAACCAGCTCCGTGTAAATTGTCATCAGTAGTGTGCTGACTTCATAGCAAAGCAGTAATATAGTAAGTGCAGGATGTTTCCTAAGGATTAAAACCATCTGGGAAGAGGATGCCACAGTCTGATAACTCCAGGCAGTCATTAATTCCAAGGAAATACCCTCCTTTGAGGTCATTATTGCCTTCTTATATTTAATATATGATTTTCTTATTATTTTCTGAAAACTATGCTTTGGATTACTTTGCTCATCCCTGCTTTTCCTTTAGGGTTTCCTGGGTCAGGAAAAAAAATGAAAATTGAGTCTGACAGAAACAAAGTATTTTTGTCAGAATTAAAGCACAAACATTAAGCCTTAGATTACACCGTTTCAAATATATTGGGCAATCCTTTATATTCTGTTTACATTGAACTTTATTCCACATCTCAAATTGGGAACAAAGTATTATGTGTTCTTCAAGTCATAGTGTACATAAAGACCTGGATTATATACCTGTCTAGGAGAACAGAAGTCTCTTGAGTCCTGGAAATTACTACATGAAACACGCAGTTTTACACAACTGGCACTTTCAGCAAGAACAGTAAATTTGATGTAAACAGTTAACTTACCTGAAGGAAGTTTAGCCTAAAGCCAAAGATTTTCCTGATTTATGTAAGAAATATACAGATTCTACTTACTCTTCCTACTTGTAAAAGAGGTCAACTGGATGTTGATACATATTCACATTCTGAGGGATCAGAAGGATTTCAACTTCTAGCTTTAAGAGAAAAAAACATCTTTCATTTAAAAGCATAAGTATCTGTCAGACCGTAGTTGACAACATCTCCGTTTTAATTAACAAGACAAGTGACATACCCTATTTAGGAGATGCCATTTCTGCAAAATTTAGAATTTCCATTAGCAGTGGAAGCTGGGATCTCTGCTCTCCTTGGCTGGCTGAGGAGAAACTGGTAGGAGCTCAGTGCCTCTGAAGTTTTGCTCCATCTCCCATGATTAACAAGTATTAATACTAAGGTTTAAAAAATAAGGAAAATCGAAAGGGACAGATCAACAGTAAGGATATAAATCTAAAAAAAAAATCCCAACAAAAACTAGGAGTGCCATTGAAAAAGTACTGAGTAGCACAGACACTTCTAAGTGCTAAGGATTTTGTCATTTAAACCACATCAGGATAATTACAGATGATCAGACATGCTATTTTGGCCAGTAAAACAAATAAACCAAACTTACAACCTCACTCCAAGTAAACCGTAGGCAGCTTAAGCAAACTCACCAATGCCCCAGGGCACAGCTTTCCTAGAAGTAAAACTTTTATCCAGCTCATGCAGGTACTTAACTTTAGGGATGTCTGGAATGCACTTGGTAATGGCAGCAATTATCACAAGACACAACAAATCTGAAAGGCTAAGTCAAAACAGACTTCACAGACTGGTTGGTAATAATCTTCCAGTGCCTGCACGTGTGGACAGAAAGCTAGAATGAAACAATCAGATGTTTATCGCCTACTCTTTCTTGATCTGTCTTCTTCTCTCTTACAGATCATCGCCAAGGGTTTTGCTTTGCTGAAGTCTTGCAGACAATGTGTCAGATGGCTTCAAGCAGCCGGAATCTTGTCACTAAATCTGAGTGCTGCTGCGATGGAGGCCGGGGCTGGGGGAACCAGTGTGAGCTCTGTCCTCTTCCTGGAACAACCCAATATAAGAAACTCTGTCCTCATGGACCAGGCTATGCTACAGATGGAAGAGGTATTTGCAGGGATGAAAAGAGGCAGAGGAGGGGAAAAGAACATGCTCACGTATTTAAGAAAGCACAGAATTCTCTTTGAAGTTCCTTCGAAGAATTTCCTGCAGAACAACGGTTTGATTTTTCAAATGTTGCTGAGACGCGAAATTAAAAACACCTTTCAGCAGTAACAGCAACCATAGTGCTCACAGCTGTGCAGAATTTTCAGGGTTGGCATGTAAAACAGGAGGTACCAAAAGGGAACTAAAAGCTAGAAATGATCCCAAAGCATTTGTATGCTGAAAAGTTGCATACATGGCAAGGCAACAACAGTCGTTCTAACAACAGTCTCACTGAATACTTTGCAGTTACTCTTTCCGCACAGGAAGCAGAAGCCAACAAATGCTTTTAAATTGCCCTGAAAATTTTCTGATATCATCTAACTGGTCATCAGAAAATTTACTTCTGTGGGTCTTGTATTTTACATTAGCAATGAAATGTCAGGAAAGTTTTGATACAAAAAAGAATAACGAAAGTTTGAACAGTGTTTGACTCCGAAATCAGATCCATTATTAAAGAGGAAGAAAGGATAGGGTTCTTATCAGAAGCATGATGATGAGGAACTGTGCAAAGGTGGAATAGAAGGAAGAACTTAAATTTAAAACAAAAAGATGACATATTTACTATTTTCTGTGCAGATATTGATGAATGTAAGGTCATGCCAAACCCATGTAGAAATGGACAGTGTATTAACACTATGGGCTCTTTCCGATGCTTTTGCAAAGTTGGCTACACTACTGACATAAGCGGCACATCTTGTATTGGTAAGATTCAGCATCTTAATTGCCAGCTGTTTTTATAATTGGTATATAATGGCGTATCACCCTCTCTAAACCTCTGTATCAAACAGTGATACCTCTTTATCTCTTTTCTGTTGTCACTGTAGTGGCAGCTCCATAGAAACTCCACAGTAACGCATCCATGTAGAAAGAAACAGGAACTCTGAATGAATCTAAATTGGGGACTTTTTCCACAAACGTTTTTCTTTTAAATATAGTGCTGTTTAGAAAACACCCTTCAAAGACAGAGAAACCAGTACAACAAACACTTAATATTTCTCTTTTTAGACCTTGATGAGTGCTCCCAGTCTCCTAAGCCATGCAATTTTATCTGCAAGAACTCAGAAGGGAGCTATCAGTGCTCATGTCCTCGGGGTTACATCCTTCAAGACGATGGAAAAACATGTAAAGGTAAAGGAAGTTATACACAGTAACTTTAAATTTTGCTGTACCTTGAGTTCAAAAGGAAATAGTTTTCAACTGAGATATTTTTATCAAGTTAGACTAAATGTACCTCTTTTTTTGTTGACTTTTCTTAAGACAGCAATGTCTCTTACTTTCAGATCTTGATGAATGTCAAACCAAACAACACAATTGTCAGTTTCTCTGTGTCAACACCCTTGGAGGCTTCACATGCAAATGTCCCCCTGGTTTTACACAACATCACACAGCTTGTATTGGTAAGAAAAACAGTAGGTTTTTTGCGTCAGGTTTTCCATGAGAGCAAGGTTCTCAGTTCTCATTCTTTTCTTTTGTTCTGTGTAAACAGTAAAAATGCAGAACAATAATGTCAGCAGTACAGAAACAGATTATGAAAAGCAATAGATATAGCTAAAGAAAAAATCAATCTATCCACCATTTATATTTTCTTGTTTAATAAACAGTTGTACATATTTAATACATGTTTAATGCATGTTATTATATTCTAAATATAACTACATGTAGATAAAGAGGTGAAGTACTAAAGCCTGATTTAAAACGTAGTTAAGCAAAAACAGTCTGCATTTTCTTTTTTAATAGATACAGATGTCTTTAGATCTTAAGCATATGTAGGAATCTTGCCAAGTGAAACTGATTTAGTTCAACTAATACAGAGGTTCAGCATTTTTCCACTGACCACATGCCTGTGTCCTTCACACTCGTAACTGAATTGCAACTTACACTTCCAATTTATTAGTTGCTCTGCAGGAGTCATCAGGTCATCTGACATGTAAATATGAAAAGCAGCATTTTCAGAATAAACTGTTGCACCTCTGTGGATTTCAACCTCTTAAGAACTGTTATGTCTAAAATCATGTCACAAGTTACACGAACCTTCTCTTTCCTCTACATTTTTAAGATAACAATGAATGTGGTTCTCAGCCATCACTTTGTGGATCAAAAGGAATTTGCCAAAACACCCCTGGAAGTTTTACCTGTGAATGTCAAAGGGGATTTTCTCTGGATTCTACTGGATTAGACTGTGAAGGTAACTAGCAAATGTCAGATTTTTTTGTAGTGCAAGTCCATACTTCTGTGTCTAGTGAATCCTGTGATGTCACCAGACAGATAAAACAGAGCATCAGCCATATTCGTGTAGATACCAAAAAGAAATAGGGATATATGTGAGTAATTTTAAGCTTAATTGTTTGTAAGAACATACTGCCAGAGTAATTTTTACACAACAGAATAATAAGTGACTGTCTAGCTGAACTCTTGAACAACAGTTTCCAGGATGCCATTTCAACTTCAGTACACCCTTCACTGGGCCTATATATTAAGCAAATAATAAATTAAAAGGCAGTACCAGGCCATCTGGCTGGTGAGAATTAGAAATGCAGAGGTATACACGCACAAACTTATGACATCTCAAAATGTCAGCTACCTTGATACAGCTTTTAAAGCAGGAGTTGATAATTAGACCCTATTTCTAGAATAATAGTGCAGAATATACGCAGCCAGAAGTTATAGAAAGCATTATCTTCCATTAGATATCTTTTTTCTCATAACGTAGGTACATCCTTATTGTGCATTCTACCTAGGACCTACAAAACAAAACACTAAATTATACCTATCAAAGCATTCACAAGATAGATATACAGCTAACATGTCAGAACTGCTCTATGTGCCATTACTGATAAAATAGCTTTCAGTTCCTGGCACAATGATTCTATGGACATCAGGCTTTAGGACATCCAAGTTCCATTAAATTCAACTGTGGACAACTATAATATAACTTACAATTGTGATATCATACATGATTTTTTATTTTTCTACTTGAACTGTATACTGTACCTGACACATTAGACTGCTTTAAATCTACTTACTTCTTATAGCAGACACTATTTCAGATGATTGAGTTTCTACATTTTGTGTTTTCTTTCTGGCTTTCTCCTTTATTTGCACATAGCTTAGCAACATTTTAGATGGCATTTTTTTAAATTGCAAAGGTAAGCACTTATATCCAAATTTGGTATGTATTCCTCACTCTGGTGTGTTCCAGGGAAATGAAAGCTTACTCCTACATCGCTGGTTTGAAAACTGAAATAAAAAAATATTTATTCTAAACATTACATCAAAACATGACATGGGATTACCAGGAGTAGTATTTCTTCTCCCAGTCTGAGTAATGCAGATGCTTAAAATCTCCAATTAGATTACTGATACCTGGAAAGAACAGTAAATTAACTGACTTTCAGGCTTTCCAGTAGATCAACTTGAAAGGTGCTTCCATCTTACAGCAGTACTTCTCTGTCATATATACTGGTGTTTGAATGATGACAATCAAAATCAGTGACATATTTGGCAATCATGTTATTTTATGTTACACTTCTCCCCCAATTGCAAAGATGTGGATGAATGTGATGGAAACCATAGATGCCAGCATGGCTGTCAAAACATCCTGGGTGGATACAGATGTGGATGCCCACAAGGATATGTTCAGCATTACCAGTGGAATCAATGTGTTGGTAAGGAAACAAATAGCACAGAATACATTTGGAAAATAAAGATATCATAGTGTTTACAGTGATAGCTACTAGGTGAGGACAAAAATAGCAGGACAAAGGGTATGGAGACACAAATATTTTTTTCCTTTCTGCCCCTCCTTTCATGTGCTTATACTCTGACATAAATCAATGGCATAAGGCCACAAGAGAACAGTAAAGAAGTTTCACCTCAACATGAGGAGAAACATCTCTGCTGTGAGGGTGACAGAGCACTGGCACAGGCTGCCCAGAGAGGTTGTGGAGTCTCCTTCTCTGGAGACTTTCAAAACCCACCTGGATGTGTTCCTGTGTGGCTGCCCTAGGGAATCCTGCTTGGGCATGGGGGGTGGACTAGATGATCTCCAGAGGTCCCTTCCAACCCCTAACGTTCTATGATTCTATGATTCATCCTGTTGAGACTCTGCATGATAAGGTCTTACTATCCCAGTAAGACATAAATTCTGACTCCCTTTTCCTGAGAAAAATCCCCCTCTTAAAAAGATGGAAAGATGTTAATTGAATTCCTGAAAGCATCAATGTAAATACCTCTGTTGGGAGGGAGAGAGAAACAAAAAAAAATTCCCACCTTTCATCAGTAAGAATTACCATCATTAGCATTTTGAGAATACTACAGAACAGAATCATAGAGTCATAGAATGGTTCAGGCTTGAAAGGACCTTAAAGATCGTCTAGGTCCATTCCCCATCTCCCACTAGACCAGGTTGCTCAAATCCCCATTGAACCTGGCCTGGAACACTTCCAGAGAGGGATGTCCAAAGCTGCTTTGGGCAACATGTTCAGCATAGCATCTATAGTGAATAGGGAAAGCAAATAATCAACATTAAGGGTTTTCTACTTCCAAAATAAGTCTTAAGGCCAACATTAGTTCTCTGGGCAGGGAACAGGGTCAAATTAATCAGCTCAGCAGTTTTATTGTAGGCTTAGCTCATTCAATCCATCATTTCTTTTCTGTGTTTCATGAACCAAGCTGATTGTCATGCTAAATGAAATGTGGGATTTATTTTTTTAATAAAAACTAAAATACACAAACAACCTCACCCTGTAGGGCTCACAAGGCACCATATTTACCTTCTCAACCTTACTTTAATTGTTTTCTGTCAATAGTGTCACAATCAGAGAGGATGGCTATGAGCACTGCTATATATTTCTTACAGGCTGATCTTATCATCCTGATCCTACACATATCCAGTAGTCTATTATACCCATTTTACGTTAAGTTTCACACTAGGCAGTTTTTCTGAGTCTCAACTACCATCATCACTCCCTACTTAATACTGCTCTACAGCAAAGAAAGCAAAGGACTGGGGTGGGAGCAACAGTAAGACACAACAAACAACTCTCATAAAATTCCAAACCAGCTACAGTCTCTGAATATTCTAGGTAGTCCTCAAAAGACTGTGTCTTGTAGTAACTGCAGGCAAGAATGGTAAACCATGTGGTAATGGGAAGGAGAACGGATAGAGAGAAACAGTATCTTGCTAAGTAAAATAAGCAACAGGCAGCTGTCAAAAGCACGACTTCCATACAGCAAGCTACTTTTCTCACACATTTTTTCACAAGATAGCCTGGAGCCAAATCACACTGACTGAAGGAGTCATCTTCTCTATCTTAATTCAGCACCCACAAGGTGAAGACAATCCTTTTCTCTTGCATTTTGGTTTTCTTCCCCCTCACAGAGCTTGCAGGTTTCCACAAGGATGTGTTAGCTTCATCTCATTGCTATGTGCCAAGGAACATACGGTTGGAGTATGACTGGAGTTCCAGCTCATTTCTCCTCTGTTGACCTTATAAAGTAGGAGTGTACCCTGCCAGGGAAAAGAGGACCTCTAAGCACAACAGGAGACGTACTTCAAAGGAAGGAGGAGCATTGAGTCAATATAAGGTTAACAGTAACGATATCGTATAAGACCTTTATAGCTGAGCTATGTGTATTTGGGACCTTTGCCAGTGCACTTTTTTTTCAGAGACCAGTTATCTTTGGGGTATTGAGGTCAAGGACTTGCAGATACTGTGATTTGTTAGCTACATCATGCTTGCCTGATGTCTGTCATATTAGAAGATACCAATATACTTTTGTTTGTTTACTAGATGAAAATGAGTGCTCCAACCCTAATGTGTGTGGCTCTGCTTCTTGCTACAACACACTTGGAAGTTACAAGTGTGCGTGCCCATCTGGATTTTCTTATGACCAATTTTCCACTGCATGCCATGATGTGAATGAGTGTTCTTCTACCAAGAACCCCTGCAATTATGGTTGTTCAAACACTGAAGGTGGTTACCTTTGTGGCTGTCCACCTGGATATTACAGAGTTGGACAAGGGTGAGTATCTCCACATAGTCATTTATCAGAGACACTTTTAGAAGGCTTATAGAAATGTCTGGCCCTAGTCAGACTGAAGAGCAGAAATGCAAATGAAAGACACTACTGAGTCATCTTTTCTACTCCTTTTGCACCTAAGCTCGAAAAAAAGATGTCTACTTATGCAGCATGACACTGATTTTAGATCTAGTATATAAGCAACAATAAACAATTAGTTCTGTTTTCTCCCCCAGTATCAGCACAAGAACTGCTTCACAAACCTGCTTGAGGACTGTTACTGCATATGGATAGGTACAATCTATACTGAGATAATTAAGGGGTTTTTAGCCACACTGATCAATCCAGAACACAAATTAACATTTCTGATACATGACAATGGCTAAGTTCTTCAGTTCCAAAGTAAAACTTGTAAATGAAAGTTAGAAAAGCCTCCAGACCTTCAGCTATTGGATGTATTTCATTCATTGTGCTAGACTAGTGTGAAAAAAATTCGTGCACAGATCTCTTGCTGAGGGAGAGGAAAGGAAGGGGATACAGACACTGTGGTATAGATTGCATATACTCAGATTCCATGTCATAAAACTGCAAGAAGTAACTAACACAGATATTTTTATTCAACAGCCACTGTGTCTCAGGGATGGGATTTAACAAAGGTCAGTACCTGCCACTGGATGGAGATGCTGATGAAGAGAACGCTTTGTCCCCTGAAGCATGTTATGAGTGCAAAATCAATGGCTATTCCAAAAAAGGAAACAGGAAGAAGAGAAGTGCTAATGGCACTGTACGTACCCAAATAAATAAGTACTATAATGTATATTTTCAGAGATAACATAGTCAACACTATCAGTAAATGAAGGGAATTTTTTAACAGGCCATAATCAGTGGTGAAAATCCTTTTTTCCCTGCCTCAGTGTTTTTCACACTTGGGTCCTCTTGGCAGGAGGGGTGCAACAATCAGGTATAAACAGCTATGAATGGATGAAGTTTATAAAGCTTGTAAAAAAATCCTTTCTAGTAAGAAACATGATCTAGTTCTTCAAAGTATATTCAGGGAAAGAATTTTCCTATAATTATAGCGACCTAAAAGACTGGTCACATCTGCAGTTAGCGCTTCTGTCAGAAGGAGATTGGACAGTCTTTTAAGGTCTGGGACAGCTTATTGCAGATCATTTTAGTCTAAGTGTCTGTTTCATGGTTGGTCACAATTGTGTGGGACTAGAGTCCATGACCTCACCAATACACCTAAGTCCAATATGTGCAGAATTGCTCAGGATGTAATGAGAATTACACTTCAGACTTAATTTTTTACATTTTGTGGGCTTATAAAATAAGTTAAAGGATACTTGTGAAGGGACAGCCCTACTATTTAGACATTTTAGATGTTTTTTTCAAAACTCAATTTAGAGGTGAGGACACAGAGATTTTCCTTCACTAGTACTGAAGGAAGAGCTGCGTAATGCAAACAGCAAAATAAAAAACCCCAACTAAAATGGTAAGGTGTGCATGCTAGCCACACAAGTTCCACTGAAAGAATGAGGAAACAAATCTCCTCTCTGAAAGGGTAAAGACATAAACTGATCCAGAAGCTCCAGTCTTAATGCACACTACTTTGTATGATGCCATCAAAACCAGTTCTTGTATTGACAAATATTCTAAAGAAGTCAGTTATCCTGTAATTTCTGTTCCAAAGGCTATACTGTTGGCACTTAAAATCTAAATGTTTGATTTCTCCACCCACATCCACACTTCCCGCAAACATCTCTTTTCCCTCCCAACTACCACTCCTACTGAACATGTTCCAGGTTGTATTCTGTGATCAACCCACCACAGAAATACAAGGATGTTTTCAAAAGCATTCTTTCTGTTGCACAGTTAATTTCACATCTAGTTTGTAATTGTTATATCCTGTAGTCTTATCACTAATGACATCTGTGGGAGGGGCCGGTTAGCTCAGTTGATTAGAGCCTGGTGCTGATAACACCAAGGTCACGGGTTCGATCCCCATTTGGTCCCCATGTGTTGCCTGATCTAGTTGAGAGGCGTCCCTGCCCATGATCTCTAAGGTCCCTTCCAGCCTACGCGATTCTAGGATTCTATGGCTCATAGATTCTACGATTCTACTTGCTCCTCTCCACAAATTTTCCTTGTTTTCCCCATGTGTTCTTAATTACATCACATATTAGTACATATATGTACTCACATGTGCTTGGAGTTCCCTCAGAGAAAGAAATCCTTTGCTAGCTTCACAAGCATGAAAGGATCTTGACATGTAGGTGACGTACCTGACTTAATTGCAGGTTTCCTAAAGAAGACTGCAGTCAATGTCTATTTGTAGAAGCACTTTTAAAAGCTGCCTCTTGTTAAGTGGCTTTCCTAGGAATGCACTCATTCTTGCCCACCATCCCCAAGTGTGTTCACAACTAACACCTCTGCAGAAAAACTATACTGAAAATGTATATTTTATATATATACACATGCGATATGATATGATACAATATGATACAATACATAACATAACATAACAAACATACCATAACATAACAATATAATATAAATTTTGAAAGAGTACATGACTGATTTGTCAGAAAAACAATGCTGGGACTTTTTTTCCGTACTCCTTTCAGTGGTCCAGATGGGATGTAATTGGACAATGTGACACACTAGCCCTTTCTATAGAAGGCTAACAATACAGCAGTTATCTCCTTACTTCAGTTTTCTTTGTAATCACTGTACTTCCTTATCACCAAAGGATTAATTTGATTATTCTACTAAGCCTGCTTGATAAGCCTTTAAGGTTTACAGGGTATGCTACGTGGAATCAAGCAGTTCTCTGTGGAAAAAAGTTACAATTCTTTTAAAAGTAGGTTTTGCCAAATGCAGGAACTGTTAATAATTATGCATCATTCTCCTCTCAGTGCAAGTGGGTATCTAAACAAACTTTCCTCCTTTACTTCAGGTCAAGCAGATCAGCTTAGAAAGTCTAGATATGGATAGTCCTTTGAAGATGAGAATCAACATTTCCAGGCTGGACAACAAGGAGCACCTTCTAGAACTTATGCCAGCCATTGAGCCTCTTACCAACCACGTGCGCTACATTATCTCACATGGCAATGACAATGGCACCTTCCAAATCCATCAGAGGGATGGACTGAGTTATTTGCACACAGTTAAGAAGGAGTCAGTGCCTGGAACTCACAAACTGGAAATCACTAGCGTTGCTCTGTATAAGAAAAAGGAACTGAGGAAACTGGAAGACAGCAGTGAGGACAACTACCTCCTAGGAGAGCTTGGAGAAGCTCTCAGAATGATGCTGTGGATAGACTTCTACTAGCTATTTTCCAAACTGAGTCCAGTCCTTCAGTCCTTTCTGCCACCTGAGCATATCTGCTTTTCAAAGGCTTCAAAGCAGTCACTGACTTTCGGGTGAGGAGGAGAGAAGGGAAGACCTCCTTCTTTCCATCCTGCCAAGACTGCAGAACGACCCTTGCAGGAGGGTAACTTAAACTTTGACACCGCAAAAACTTTGATTACAATGGCAATCATGGTTACTGTCTCTTTTATATAACCTCAATTTAAAATGTATTAAAATGCTAAAGTTCAAGAAGTCATCATATGGCACTAAATGGCACAAAAATGTGAGCTATTTTTTTCCTGTTAGCAGTCTGTAACACTTCAGGTATTTTGCTATAGTACCTAATTAAAAAAAATATAGAAGTTTATTTATTTTTAATGCAGTAATATATGGAGAAAATAACAAAATATGTAAACAAAAGGGAAGCCTGCTTGTTTTTCTTTAGATTTATAAATTTGATCTATAACATTTTAGAGGTATTTTCTTAATTAAAAGAAAAATAGATTTGAAAGATGTTTCCTTTTGCATTTGGGCCAGTCATCTAAATGGTATATAACTAACTTTAAGGTGTGTCAGAGCTGAATGAGCACTGTAGTACATCTCCTGGATATTCTAAAGTGCTCTTACAAAACTTGGAGTATTCAAAAAAAAAAAAAGAAAAAAAAAAGAGACTCTTAAAGGACAGTCTCAGTCTCCACAGAGACTGTATTTCACAGCAGCTCAATAAGACTGTGTTCTGAATCGGTCACATCAAATAATGGAAGAGGCACAACCACTGTAGCAAAATACCTTGACTGCTTTTAATACCATTAGAATTGCAGAACCAAACTGTACTGTACTTCCTTCCAATAACCTCAAGGAACCACACATGCAACCACACCTCATTCTCAGAAGTGGTGCTCTACAAACTTGCGTTACTGTAGGCAGCTGAAGAAAATGTCTCTCTGAAGGGAACATGTGATGTTTCATACTGTTTGGTGCTGGCTTGAATTAATGGTGCATTTACTAAAAACTGAGAGCTGTATCAGGACTGCCATATGTGCAAAATAATTATGCAGTGCAGACAAGGAAAATGTGTATTTGAAGTTCATTTTTAGAAGTTACATTAATACTGTAGTTATACACCGTATGCCTCATTTTATCGTAGCTTATTTTGTAAGAAAGATGTTTGTACAATGAGTTGACATTTAGTTTACTTTAGTAATTTTTTTTTAAATGTCATACCATTATGTGTTAAGTGTATGTCTCAATGGACAGCTGGTGCCTGTAACTAGTCATGTAACAGAATCTCATGTGAAAATAGCCAAAGCACATACTGACTTCAGGATTGTTTCAGTCACATATCAATGATGACCAAAGATTATATCAAGTTATACTCAGTGATTTTTCTTTTCTTTTCTTTTGTTGAGTTTGGGGATTTTGAAAAGAAAAAGAAACTTTGTACATTTTTAATAAAAAATAAAGTTTTGTTTAAAGGTCTGTATTAGTAAGTCAGCACTTTTTTTTGCAATAAAGCTTATTTTGGGGTAGATTTTTTCTTTGAAATGTCTGCATTCTTTACAGAAAAGAAGCATCTAATTCTAAATCCAAAGGATTTCAGAGCAGAAAAAGAAGCTAGTGCAGTACAGGTACTTCTTTGCTGATATGTAAACTTATACAGCATTTCTTGACTTGGTTTCTCTATCACGACAGAGCTGAAACACAGGAATTAAATTGTCACTATAAAGTTTAAACTCTGCCTCAAGTGTCTCAAAATCTCATATCTATTAGGTCTGAGTGAGCTGCCCTTAGAAGTTTTGCTTATCCTTGTAGCTGCTTATTGACATAGTGAGGACTGAAGGACCATCACAATTGGTAAGTTCCATCATTCAGGGCTAAAAAAAAATCCCTCTACATTTAAAAGTGGGACTGTAAAACTTCTGTCTACTTGAATAGCAACAATCTGTTGAGACAGTGGAGGTACTTTTGCTTGCTGGCAGTCTCCTGAATGCCTTTCATTAAGTGCACTGTCAAACCCAGTAGTGCAAAGCATGTTTGTTTGGTTTTTTTCCTAAAGAATGCAAGGTTTCCACAAAGTCCTCATTAAATAAGCTATTCTGTTCAGTTAAACTGGTTACTGTGTATAAGTAATGGCCAATAGTGACTTGGTTTTTTTACAGTAGTAATAGCCAAAGAAAGAGAAATTGGGCACTCTGGGTTAAGCACTGATGCAGAATGCTTGTTTTAGATGTACACTTTAGTTTCTGTGATTCTGTGATTCTGAATATAATAGAAGATTTAGACAGTCTGCACCAGCAGAATTAACCCTGTATATTCTATTGCAATTTGTGCTGGTCCAGCACGTCACCACTGCAGGTTTCATGGTTACAATGGAAAAATGCAGCACTGCAGTTGAAAAAAGTAAGTAATTCCCAGAAATGTACTAGAACAAATTAAAAGCCACCAGATGTTTATTCCTTAGTCACAATCTTAAAGCATGCCAAATTGTGCAACATCTCGAACAAGGATGGATCAGATCTCCTGCTACCAAAATCAGGTCAATGAAGAACTCTCCTAACACTCAATTCAGCATTAGAAACAGGCATTTGTTTATTACAGCGCTAGAGCTGCCACATTTGATGGTCCTTGGTTGTTGAGGGGCCAAACAAGAATTGCCTCCTCTAGGGTGCCAGCCACAGTTGTAGAATTTGATATCTTTGCTTGCA